AGTTCATTTTTCAAGTTCGTTATATCCGGACTCAACTGTATAATACAAAATGATTCCAAATTGGAGATAATGTTTAAGGAGAAAGGAAAAAAAACAGAAAAATAGTAATTCGCAATAAAATCAGAATTATTTGCCAGGCACAAAATAAGTAATCATTCTGCAACAATGTTTTTGATTCCATCTCCAGTTTCCGAAGCTCACAATAACGAAATTATTAGACCATGGTTTATCGAGCCCCATAACATTGTCGAAAATGGGACACCCTGTATATAATTAACGGTTTCTGAGATGCAACTAAGTGCCGATGCACACGGTGATCGACGGGCGACGTCGACGTTCGTGTGAACTGCTCCATTGTAGCTGTTAGATTCATTTATATAACCTGTAGGTATATATCGGTTGGCAACAGTGCCACGAAGATAGAAACCTGTCACAAGTGTCATGTCATGGGGATAATATAAGGGGTAGCCGTGGATGTAAAACAGAAGAAAATAGAACGAAATACAGTCCACACGCCGAAGTAATATCTCCATTTATTTAAAGCATCCTTACAACAAAACACGAGCGAGTTAAAGGAAATAATCTAGTTTGAGCCAGCCTTTACATATCCATTAAATATTTTGATCCGGCTCGAAGGACCATCCCTATTTGTGGGACGCGCGTTTTTTGACGTCGCGTCACCGCACCGTTAAAAAACGCTCGTGTGCACCGGCACTAAGAACGTCTTTTAGTTGATCTGTCGATGTTGCATAAAATTTCCCCTCCAAATTTAGTTTGTTTTAAACAGTTATCAAGCCTTAACAATTTATTTAAACAGTTGACAATTAATATTGTCAACTGATCTTTTGCCATATATGGGGCATCTTTAAACCCGAATATGATTTTTTCATTGATATTTAACAGTAAACATCTTCTTTGATTAACTTGATGTTTGAATCGATTAGAGCACTAAAAGTAATTAAGTACGGTCCTGCTTCTATCACGTGGCCCGCGACCAAGCCGCGACCTTCAGCGGAGTACAGTCACCGACCGCAATATTACCTGTCCTATCACTCGGTTGTTATTTCACTCTATAAAGGGGCACCGAATTGTAGCCCACGAATATTCATACATATATTTACATTATACGGCCCAAAATAATATTTTTAAATAGATCTAAAATGTCTGGAAGAGTGACAGAGCAAATTAAATAATTGCTTTCAACTTCAACCTGCAATACCTTGATCAGGAAAACGTCATCGCGGTCAATACTCAATTCTAAATCATAATTATACTGTACTACATAACATACCTTAAGGGATTGGTGTTAATCCTTTAGGTCATCTTCACAAATTGTGATAGTTCAAAAAACATTAATTACAAAAAACCACCAAAGGGTTAGGTAACTCGATTTTCACTTTCACGAACAACCGAATTGCGAATATTAACAAATTGGCACACCTTTAGTTAAAAAGTGACATTCACAAGTTGATAATAAATTAAACTTTGAAAACCCCTTTGAGATCTGTTCGATACGTCAAAGGCGTAACAAAAAAACAACACCGTCAAGAGAAAACGGTAAAACGAAAACAAAAAAAAACGGGAAAGGCCAGCGACGATGCACTAGCAGACTTGTGTAAAAACAATGGAAATTAAAAAACATGGTTTTGCGACATCTGGCGAGTTCGCCGCTAAGTTCTATGCAGCAGATAATAGAGATGTATCAACTCATTTACGTTAAACAACACACACAATTTTCTATACAGGGCGGCTCATAAATGCGTCAAAGTACAAATATTCACTCACGTCTAGCCGTAGCCCAGATATTTTCCCATGTGAGGTTCTTGAAGGCCCCGGTAAGTGCGCGCAGTTTGAAAATTTGAGCATATTGAAATAAATTGCATTGTTTCCTAAATAGTATTGGTAGGAAAGTTTTTAAAGGCAGTGCCAATTTGTCGGCTGCAACAAATTAGGCCTTAGTGAATTAAGTTTATAAGTTAGGGCAATGCTACGCAATGGCTTGTTGGGCCAACCCAAAACATTTCTCATAAAAAATGTTGCAGATGAGTTCTATATTGTTGAGGCGGATTCATGGGTATTTCGCCTAAAAAATTTTTAAGAAAGTTTTAAAAAAGTAAAGAAATTAATTTGAAAAATTACCTTGACGTTTCGATAGCTATTTTCTGCTATCGTTATAAAAATAAAATTTTGAATCAATCAATTTGGTGGCGTTATATTGATGACTTATTCTCCATTTACAGTCATGGCGAACAAAAACTTGATGAAWTTTTTATCTTATCTAAATAATATGCGCAACTCAACACARTGTTACCCAGGCCTACAACACTTCCSGAAAAGTGTTAATTGTTTCAAATGTAAAAAAAATAAAACCTTTTKGGATAACTTTTTATAAAAGTAGACGATTAAATAGTTGTGTAAATCTGACTTTCTACCTCAATCTACCTTTGCGTAAATTACATAATATTGGCAAATACATTTTCCTAATATCAAAATGACACATTTAAGTCTTTGAAAAAACTCGAATTTAATTAACACGACATTAATCGAGGACGGATGGTCAACAAAACAGCAGCTGAAAGATTTGGAAAATAGAAGAGCACGACTTATAGAGATTAATTAAATTGTCAAATTAAAATAAGTTTGTGACATACATCGTACATATATTTGACGTATTTCACAAAGAATGATTTACCAAAATCGGGAAAAATTGCCTTTAGGGGTCGCCTAATTTTATGTGTCGCCAACTATACCTAATAAAGGTTACCAAGATTTAAAATAAATAATAAGTGTATGCATTTAGTAAAATTTTTATTTGTACATATATTAAAAATTATATATTATTAATTTTACCACAGTATTTCAGTAACATGGTAATTCTGAGTTCATTCAGAGCTAGAGTATTAACTGAAGGCTTACTAATCTTGATGTTTTTCAGAGTACTAATATACTATTTTGAGAGTCCTAGAAAATCCAAATCACTAAAATATTTGCAGTAATAGTTTTTGTAAAAAATTGATTGAAAAAAAAAGATTGTATAAAAATCATGAATTTTCGTACTACATATAAAATATTCTTAAACATTTAAATCTTAATTTAATTTAAAATTTTTCTTTTCCATTTGAAACCATCATCACATTTTGGGAAGTGTTGCAGTAGGCCAATTGGCACGGATTTTAAAAACTATCTTATCAATTTAGGAAACTTAATGCAATTGGTTTAAATATGCTCCAATTTGTTTTACAAAAATACTTCACGGCGCTAAATATAAATTTTCAAACTGCGCGCCATTAATCCAGAGGTGCCAAGATCCTCGCCTGCCAAAATATCTGGACAACCGCTAGATGCGCGTCAAATATCTCAGCAAACTTGATTTTGAAAAGGCAAAATACGGTTTCAGACCGTAGAGAATTAAAAAAAAAATCAAAAGATAAATTTTATTAAAAGTTAGCCTTGGTAAATATATACAGGGTGTCGTCAGTATCTCACTGATCAGTAAAGATAGAAACATGTGGTGTTCGCAGTTCGGGAATTGAACTACCGATGGGGGCGCTGCAAAATGTACACACTTACATGATTTTTTACATGTAAACATGACCAAACGTAACAAAATAAACGTCAAATTATCTTATTTGATTTTCACTATGGGTTCTATTGTGCTCTGTAGTTTCGTGATACTCAAACTCTCATAGTTCAAAGTGTTGTGTCGAAATTAATACAGGATATTCAAATAAAGTGCTTCGATAGACCTCTAATTATATTTTTTGCTTTTGCGCAAGTTAGATAAAGACAGCCACACATGCGGTTATCATCTGATTTTGACGTCTATTTGTTTTCAGTTGACGTTTACCTTGCTAAATAATTTCCTCAATTTTTCCCATAGCTGAATTTGAAAACTAACTTAATTCCAGTGCAAGAAATTAATATTATGGGTAAACAACATTTATAAGGTAAGAGGAGTTAAATTCGTTTGAGTGCCTAAAGAGAATAGCATGGCAAACAGCGTCATTCATGAAAAATTAAACCAAACAACAATTAATATTGAAAATTGAACTCGACCAATTAGAACAATTGTTTTTAGAATTCTACAGCTAATCCATTGGTGTGTAACACAATACTAGGGCAAAATATCCAGATTATATACAACATTTGCTTTGTCAATCGATTATTTGCTCTTGGCTTCGCATGATTCATAGCAATTTTAAACCATAATATTAATGTTTTTCTTTAAAAGGTATAATTATTAGCACTAAGTGCTTGCCTAATTAACATACGAATATAACCAGCTGAACGATACCCCATTTTAATATAAGATAATTGTAGAATATTGAGAATATAGTTAAAATGGGGAAAGTATGATTGAAAAATATTTTTAAATATTCCTAGAATTGAAGTGATTCAGCGGTTTAATCTTGATAACTTCGGGAATAAAATATATCAGATTAGAATAATGTCTCTACATGATATAAAAAAATCCCCAAATCGCATCGTTTCGGAGATACCTACAAAGCGTGGGAAAAAAGTTTTTAGTTTTTTCGTCATAAGTTTCATCCGATTTTGTATCAAAATTTGAACAACAAAGATAATTTTAGTAAGACGGCTACGCAGGGTTATTCACTGATTTGTTCGAAAACTTTTTTGTTCTTCATATTTTGTCATATTTTTTTTGTCTAAGATAAGATATTTAATGAAATTATGGACAATATAGAAATTGTAAATTTCATTCAAAGGTACAGAAAGCAATGGAAACCCACTGATTTGAGTCAACTGACGCTTCTGCAGAAAGTTGTTACATACATATAAGTGTTTCGTGCTATAAAAAATATTTTTGTAATGTTTTTTTTCTAACTTTCTTCTAAATAAGAAATCGATTTCTTACCGAAAATGTGATCTTGTAGTAATGTGAGAATGATCATTAGTCTCACAGAAGAGATTTTGAAGCAACGTAACAACAAATCTGAAAAACTGGTGATACATTTTTTGTTTTGGTTTTTTTTACTAATATGAAGCAAAATTTTAGCTTCATTTCAATCACTGTGTATGCGTTTTTTTATATTTCCTACCTTATTTAAACAAATACGTATTCCCATTTGTTTCTATAGTTGGAGGACATGTATTCTAAATATTTGCTAACCCAACAAAGAGAATTACCTATTGAATACTATCGAATATTTTTTTTTCATAGCAATCACTCATGAAGACATTCTCATGTTGGTACAATTTGAAAATAATCTTTACATATTTCTTTTAATGCAGCTTTAAAACATCTAACATGAGATCAGCAACTAAAAATCCTCTACTTAAAGTAGTAATATTGGGTGACGGGGGAGTGGGCAAAAGCTGCTTAATGAACCGATTTGTATCAAACGAATTTGACGAGCATTCTTTTCACACTATCGGTGTGGAATTTTTAAATAAGGATTTGGAAATTGATGGACAGACGTACACGTTACAAGTAAGTTCTCTCCAACATTAATTTGGTATACAATTCCGAATTCAGCAATTAGTTGCATGTATTTAAGTGTATTACAGTTGCTTCTTCCTACCCATTATTCTTGATTAAATCTTAAACACTCTTTTTTTGTTTAAGATTTGGGACACTGCAGGACAAGAGCGATTTAAAACTTTAAGAACCCCATTTTATAGGGGAAGTGATATTTGTATGTTGACCTATGCTATTGATGATAAAGCGAGTTTTAAAAACTTAGAGATATGGCGGACAGAGTTTAGTTATTATGCAGACCTTAAGGACAATAATGCAATCCCCTTTATAGTTGTAGGAAATAAGGTATGCTCGATGATGCACTTTTTATGCGGCTATTTTATTCATAATGATTTTTCAATTCAGTCAGACGTGTCAAGTGAACATAGAGAGGTTTCCATGCTAGAAATGGAAACTTGGTGCAATGAGAACCATATCACTTCTTGCATAGAAACCTCAGCGAAAAACGCCAGCAATGTCCAAGAAGCTTTTAGGATGGCTGTGCAGCATTGGATAAGGTAAACTTGTCTAAGGGTAAGTTCTAGTGCATTTAATGAATTGTTGTTCTCCTATAGGCTAGAATCGCGAGCAGACAAAAATCAGACCATAGTCAATGATACTGTTAATTTGTCTAAAAACCAATCAGATGTTAAGACGTCGTGCTGTGGTGGAAGTGGAGATGAGACAAACTAATTTTGTAAAACCAAAATGTCCATTTTGTTTATCTACCTTTGGTGCCTATTTTTTAATTCGAAATAGCCTAACATCCGACATTGACGATTGGCTGCAGTATATTATTTTTTTATATGAGATTAAGTAGTTTTATATAATCGATAATAAGCATTACTTTTCACAACCCTGAATATACATTCTGTTATGCAAATATAGACACATCAGTTTATTACATATTTACGTTCTCATTGTATTCTTACTTACACAGGTACTTTGTGGACGGAATGTGATTGTTTCATATCAATAAATTTGGCGTAGCGTGCGGATTATGAAAGTATTAATGGTGAATGGTCAGTATTCTATGAAATGAATGATGGATATTACGTATGAAAAGAGGGAATGGCTTAAGACACGAATCATAGCTTTTAAACATTGATATATAGAAGGTGCTTAAACTAGTTTACAGCTGTAAATGGTGCGTATTGTGTTATTAATAAGTAGGTATTCCACTTTATCAAAAAAGACACATCTTTCAACGAAACATTAAAAAACGTTTGTATGCTCGTTTTTCATTACTATTTTGTTAAGGTATATGAAGGATTATTTAATTCTAGTAATCAAGGCAAGGAATAAAATATTGTGTAACTCAAATTAGCATTTTACTTCTACATCTTCTGATCCATGTAATATAGTAAAATGTGTCTTTAGCTAGTAGTGATAAATGACAGTTTAAATTCAGGCACTGCATTGTAAAACTTAAAACACGCAATCAACAACGATCCGATTAATTTTTACTAAATTAAGTATCGATAGTATTGTCTGTTTTCCATTGAGCAAAGCTGAAATTTGTTAAATTCCCACATTGTGACATGTTTGATGTTCAAAATCGTTGCGTGCATTTAATAGCTGTGAGCTTTTGCATTATATGATGATTCATGTAATCATAATTCAATGTAATAAAATGTCTATAAAGTTAAACATGTTTTGTTAGTAATACTTTCGTTATTAAAGTGATATTGAAAAATGAATCTCGCCTAACAGGGCACTGAAAACATGTATGGTCTCAACTAAATGTAGGTGATATTTCCACTAATTGCCCTATATATAATAGATATACGATATATAATAGATCCAATAATCAGCCCTAATATATCATGAAACAGTTGAAAATTAATTTTTATTATTTTCATATGGTTTATTTTCTATATCATATAGATACATCGCTAAGATTTTACCACTTTGTCGAAACTTTGTGTTACGCCTGACACGCGTTTCGGCAGGAAGATTAAAACTGTTTTTTACATAGTACGTTCTAAAAACGTACTTGTGTTTGGGCTGTTTTTTGTAAACGAACCTCTTGAGGACCTATAAATGTTTATCCGAACTTTCTGTATCATTTTGGGTCGTACACTTTGCAGTTAAAATTATGCTGACTGAATGTCAACAACTTTTATATGAAACTATTTTTCGGAAGTTCAACGCCTACGGAAATAATGGACTTTCTCGCACTAAAAAACCACCCTGTATGTACGGGGATTGACAGAAAACTAACCTATCAAAATCTACACTGCCTTTACAGCGCTGCCAAGTATGTTTGCCACAAAAACTATTAGGTGGTACAGAAAATTGTTGTTAATTAATAGTTGTTCTGGTGTCAATGGTAATTACAATTACTTGGCATTTTTCTTTAAAATGAGTCCCTACAAATGTAATACAACTATTTTTCTTATCGCTCTCTGTCATAGGCAACACTGTAAGAGATTGCGTTCTTCTTCAAAGGTATAGTATAGGTTATCTCGCTTTTTGGCATTGTGTATGTCTCGCTCATTAGATGCGTGCAATGTTTGGGTTTAGTTCAGTTTAGTTGTCATGTTGTCAATAAAAAATAATCTGTGAAATAATCGAAAGTAATTCCAGGATATGAAGCTAATTAACGCTCAAAAACCAACTACAACTAGAACATTTTCATAGAGAATTGTCAAGCTAATCTTGTTGCATCAATGTTCTACGTTGAATGAGCGATTTCAAGGATTTAGACGGTATTTTTACTAGTTGTGTTGCATGTATTTACATTGTTAGAAACTTATTAATATTGTAGTCAATAATTCAATTTTATATCGTATATCTACCACACGACGTCACTTAATTTGTTTGCTTTTAAGTTATTGGATTTTAATCAATAAGGTCAATTATAAGTCTTGTTCTATGGTCAATTAAAAAGTTTAACCATATCTGTCTCAGAATACAACAAATTTAACTAGTGCGTGAACCGCAATTTATGGGGAAATTTTGTCTGGAAGGTAACAGTTTTTTTATTTTGCACAAGATTTTTTTTTAGACTTAAAAGCTTTCATGCGTTTAAACTCTATGTTATGGGTGTCAGTCTTATACCTACGTGCTTTAAAGCAGTCCAAATAGTGAAGTTTTAGCCTATAAAATCGGTATAATATTTTAATTTTGCTTTGATAATGAATACTATTAATTTCGTCCCTTTAAGAAAACCAGCTACTTCTTTTTTACAGTTATGCACAATTTTTACAATTAAATTGTCGATAGTAATACCTCTTAATACAGTTAACATTTTGCTTACCTTGAAAATTTTATATATAGCGTCTAGAAGTTATATATGGCGCCTAAGTGCAGAATTATTTGGTACAATATTACAAACTTTGCTCCTTCTGTGTTCATAGTTTTGTGTTTTTTTCTCGCTTGCATTGCGAACTTAAAGTGATCAAGATATGCCTAATAATAGTGACATTATCGCTATTAAACTTTAAGCTTGATCATATTTATAGTTCTTTGTAAGTTTTCTTTAGTAATTAATTTTCATGGCTCAATTCGTTTTCATTTTGAAATTCATGTTACTTCCAAAGAAGAAGGGAATCTTCAAAGCCGCAACTTTTAGTAAGGAATTGAACATTACTATGTTCTTAAAGCGAACGAACTTTCTAATTTTTCATTTTGCTCCCATTTACATATGATAGCAAAGCAAAAAGAAAACGGCTTCAATTGAACCAATCAAATACTTTCTTTGTGTAGACGGTTCTGTTGATATTTTGTAACTCTACCTAACAATTAATTATGGATCAAATTTGAATCTAATCTGTTTTACTTTTTTCCCATTCCAGGTACTGATTTGTAACTATGGCTATGGCTCTAGCAAGAAATTATTCGGATTCCAATGATGAGCTTTGGAAAGAATGTGTTCATTGGCTCACCCGTTGGGAAATAATCAGGCCTGATCATAAATTAAATTGGGAATCAGCACACATTGCTGATTTGGCTGCCCTTTTAAGAGATGGAGTTATCTTGTGTAAACTATTATGCAAAATCGATCCTGGGTGTATTGATATTAAAGATGTGAACCTAAAACCTATAATGGCGCAGGTAGAAAACATAAATATAAATTCATTGTCCTTAAATATATTTAGTTTATCTATTTTTTAATTTGTTCTAGTTCTTATGCTTGAGAAACATTAGCATATTTATTAAAGCTTGCAAAAATTCATTCGGTTTAAGTCCAGCAGATTTGTTTGAGGAATCAATGCTATTTGAATTGACCAATTTCCACAAAGTTTTATGCACTTTGTCCAAACTTTCCAAAACTGAGAAAGCCGAAAGTAGTGGTATTCTGTAAGTATAATTCTTTGTTGGGGACGAAGTGGGTGTTTACACGCTGGATAAAATTCAGTCAAAAAAGCCTTTTGTATTCAAGTGTGCGTGTGTTTATTATCATATGCAGAAGGATTTTTTCATTGAATTTAATTCATTTTTGTTTTGCAACAATAAGGTCTATCAATCGGTTTCTAACAAAAATTGTTTGGAAATAGTTAGATGATAATCAACAATCGCCTATTGGCGCCTATTAACTGGCCATTTKCTTGTTAATCACACCCGTTTTGAACTGAAGATTGATACGCATTAGTACTTRAAATAAATAAGTTGTTTCTTTATGCGAAGAATGCGAAAAGGAAAGAAAATTTTGTTTATGCAAATTCCAATATGACACGTTTTTYCGGTATTAATTCGATTTACATTGGTGATGTGAGTGGCAAAAAATAGCAATTTTACATTAGGTAGTAGATTCCATATGCAAAAAAGTATAGATCGGKGAAYTATTTCTTTTTAAGGTAGAKGGTGTTTCAATAAAAAACGAAACGTTTTTCATCACTAACTTAATAGTATTTTTGTCGATATTGTYGAAATTTGGCAGTAGTAGTGGACTAAATTTACCCCAAGAAAAAGTAATTTACTCATTGATTCATTTCGCACAGGATTCGATAAAACAAAGACTATTGCTTAACTTGCTTTTTTTTAACCCATTGAAATCAGGTTTTTATTTCTGGCATCACGTTTGCCATCCTTACCGGATAATTATAGGGATTTCTTCTCTGGAAGTCCTGATCTTCGACTTTTCATATCTTCGGACTTTATTCAACTTTCTACGTGGATTGGCTGTTTTTTCGTAGTGCTTAACAGTGATACGTTAGAAAGTACATTGCTTCAATTTAACAATATGTGTAAATAAGCTGTTCGTACATCTACAATTATAATCGCTGGACCATAGAGAACATAAGCAATTATGAAGAAATAAAGCGCCTTTCTTTATTAGCGATATTGTAATTTCACATTTTCATTATAAAATGTTGCTTCAGTGGGCATGCAGAATAAATAATAGGTGTTTTAGATAAATACACTTTTGCATAATTATTAGAGCAGGCAGATTCACTTGATGGTATTTCAGTTCAGAATTGTGATGTGTGTTGACTCGTCTACCAATATGCTGCCAAAATATCTTTAACACAAATATAAACTAAAAAATAAACCAGATTCAAAGTGAAATCATGTGTAACATAATCTGAAAGAGCATGTTAATTCAACATAACGGAAATATAGTTTTGGGTTTACCAGAAAAATTACTTTAGTTTGGCAACACTTCGCATTGTTTTTGTCTTCACAATGATGGAGATCAGAAATGCTTTATTAAAACGAAGCAAACAGACAATTAGTTTAGGTGTATGCAAAAGGTGCTATGCTTTTGAAAAACTAGATGAGTCTGATTTTTTTAGAGGATTTTCCGCTGAATGCGAGGACGGCGTTGAGGAGGAAGGGATATATCAAAGTCTCACAAAAATGTAAGTTTATTTGTAGTGAAAGTCCAAGTTGTCCACATAATTCTTGAATCAAAGTAATTCTAAAGTATAACCAGAACATAAAGAAGACATATTTCATGGCTTAAATAAGGTCATATTATTCCAGTTCGCAGCTTGAGTTATAGGGGGTCCAAATTTTTAACAAATCCATAATATGATAATTTCTTCTTTCAGAAATAACGACAAATTACCATAAATGAAAAATTCATAATTCATTTATCTTTAATTTTATCTACCAAAAAGAATGGATTTGAAAGTAGCGTCTTAATAATTAATTAAATCATACAGCTGTGAATATTTTAGTAAATGCTGAAAAATATTCCGTATTGAAATGTTGAAGATGAAAGAATATGGCTCTTCAAATAATATATTTAGTTTAGTTAGGCTCATAATCGCATTTATTACATTAGCAAAAAAGTCCTTTTTATATTATCTTGTCCCAGCTGCATTTCTTACTGTTTTATGCAATAAATATACAATAATTAGGTACTGATATCTCTCAAACGCTTCATTTAGCAGCTCACCTTCAATATCTCAGAATCCAAATGGTAATGCTGATCCTCATTGGCGAATGTTTACAATTCCTTGTCCAAGAATAGAGAGCAAAGAAGACATTTATGATGATTTATGTTACGTTACCTTCCAAGCTAATTTACCAGAGGTCAGGCATTTTGCGAATTCTGCCTTTAATGTTTTTTTTTGGTTACTAGATTTTTGTTTGCGATCTACGAATTTGAAGTGCACATAGTTGCATAGCATAGCGAATTGCATGTAATAAAATTGATAGTCAGTTTTGTTCAGGACTTAGTTGAAGTCCGTGTGAAATGAATAAGAAACTGTTTTCTCCATTATTTTTGCGTGCATTGTTCGAAAGGATATACTTAATTTATAAATTCACTTATGAGTCCTTGCTCTTCTCAAACAGTTCCTTGTGCATATTTAGAATGCTAAATTTGTATTTTATTTACTTGTTGTTCAGACGTTTTTATTTTGCATGCTCTTTTTAATTTGGCAGTCAACCATCTGCGCCGAGAGGCTTAGATATAGGCAGTTCAATTGTCACCGATAGCGGCGTTACCTCTGAAGAAATTTACCAAGATTTACTTGTAGCTCGCAGTTCTATCGAGGTAGTATTATTATTTTTATTTATCTTATTTAAAGCTTTTGCCTACAAATAGTTTGCGCAATGTGTTACTGTTGCCAATATGATTTATTTGTATGGATTTCAATAAATGTGTTTGTTGATTGTAGCAAAGTCAACCGCAAGAAAAGCGGGATTTTGTTATTAAAGAACTCTTAGACACTGAGAAAAATTATGTTGATGTCTTAAACAAACTGAAAGTTAGTTTTATGACGCCCCTCCAAAGCCAAATGAAACCTGAGCACCATTCTCAGGTGTTTTACAAAATCAAGGTACAATTTATTGGCTTGTAAATTATGAATTAACATTAAAAAGTACTATTTCAGGAACTCTATGAGGTTCATTCAGGATTTCTATTGGAAATGGTCAAGATCCGAACCAATAACAACGTGAAACTTGGACAACTCTTCCAAAATTTCAAAGAGAAGTTTCTCATTTATGGTGGCTACTGCGCTAATTTAACTAAAGCGACGAGTCTGTTGCAAGAGCTCTGTGATGAAGACGAAAACTTCAATCAGACCATTATTGTAAGAATTACAAATTTGTGTGTGCGCCGTATTATTTCCCAGATTTACTTTTGCAGAGTTATGAGAAGGAAGTGAACAATGGTAGATTTAAGTTGAGGGATGTCCTGTCGGTGCCAATGCAGCGAATTCTAAAATATCATTTGCTCTTGGAAAAACTTATTGAGTTAACAGATAAGGTAGGGATTTGAAAGAAATTACTAACCATGTTTATCTAACAATGAAATTATAGAACCATGATGAATATTCGGAACTGAAAACGGCATGGGAGTCTATGTTAGATGTGGCTCGTTACATAAATGAGGCACATCGAGATGTGGAGCATTTAAATGTGATAAACAACTTACAAGAAACAATTCTGGAGTGGGAACATGATCCTGATATGAGGTGAGAAAAACCGTTTTTATTCGTATGAATCAAATCATTATCAAAAACTGCCATTTTTCGATCAAAAGTGATTATCATAAAGAAACACTTTTCTTTACTGTTCATTTATTTTACTTTGACGTACATTGCACACAGGCTCGTTACATTTTACACACATCGATATCGTGACATCTGATGCCGTGACAGCTTTCGAAATTCGATGTCATGGCACTAGGTGTTCACCACACTCCCTAACAAATAACTAAGATTAATAGCCTTCAAGAATGTCTAAATGTCACCGAGACATCAGCAGAGTCACGATATCAAACAATTTTGATATGTGACACTAACGTCATGACACTATCACATTGAGACATTCGGGGGTTCAGACATTGACATCACAGATGACAAAGAACCTCTGTGATCTGCGATTGATATTGTTCTGGAGTTCATGTCACGACATTAATGTCACTGTCATATTAATTATAACTTATGATTCGTGTTAGGTCTTTTATTCGAATAAAAAATAATGTTCGATACGAAGGGGAAAATCCGTTTTTCGAACTCCTGACCAATTGACAAAAACGACACAATTCACCCTTGAATCGAAAACTACTATTTTTGCATTTTATTGTAGACTATCGGACTATGGAAAGCTGAGAAAAGACACCGAGTTGAAAATAAAAGCTCACGATGACCAGAAAACTAGGAATAGATATGTGTTTATTTTTGATAAGTGTATTTTAATTTGCAAACAACTGAAAGTACGTCGCAGCTTCGTCGTTATTTGAACGTGTGTTTCATAGCTGATTTATAGGGAAATCAATTCGCCTACAGAGATATTCTTAATATTATGGAATATCACGTAGAGGAGATTCATAATAGAGCCATTTTAAATAACCAGGGACGGCGGTCGTATAGTTTTTTGCTGGTCAAACACGCTCAAGAAATGGCCTACACCATATATGTTCGAACACTCGAACTGAAGGACCAAGTAATAAAGGCAATCGCGGAAGCACAGTGAGTATTTTTCAGAGAACATTGAAAGCATGTATTATAATATTCAGTGTTTGCACTATTTTAGCGACAACGTGCAACCAAGAGCTCTTTCTCATACAAACCATAATTTGGAATTACACACGTTTTCAAGTCCGATTCAATGCCATTACTGTCGTAAGTACCTTAAGGGATTGATCTTCCAGGGATATTTATGCCAAAAGTGTTCTTGTGCCGTTCACAAAGACTGTATCGAATTCAGTGGCCGGTGTGGATTACCTCTGAAGTAAGTATTATGTGACCAAAGTTGATTATTTACATTTTTGATATCTAAATGAACAGTAGACTGATTTTGGTTGATTTAAAATATTTAATTGTTTTAAACCGGGATGAGCAACTGCGGCCACTTGCGGCTCGATTCATTTTTTTTGCATTAAAACGTTTTGATGAAGACAACAGCACATCGCTCAAGCAAATACCTTCAAAACCTTAAAACTAAATTTTTGTTCAATTTTTCTACCACTAAGTTACCATACAGCATACCCCAAAAAATTATTAAGAACTTCCCAATAAGTGGACAAAGGATTTATGTCACCCATGTTACATTTATCTCCTTTCGAAAAATGCTTCATTTGCAAAAAGTACGTAATGTTCATTAGAGGGGTTCAGATGGTTTTAAGGCAAGTTCTTAGTTCTTTTCGCTCTTCTTTAGAACTGTTATTAACCAAGACTCAGTTATTCCTTGAGTTAATCATCTGATATTTTAGCGTTTCTTGTCAACTTTTTTCTAAATTTTTCAAAATTTTAAACCTACTGTTTCGCTCATTCCACCTTTCCACCCACACCAACAGCGGAGTCTCGGCAGCGTTATTGTTCTTGTTTAGAGGTAGGCAAACATTTTGAAAACTGAATTTTTACAATCTATGAAAAGCTCAAAGTCTTCTGTCACACATAATTTTTGTATAGTATAGCACCAATATTATTAATTGAATTGTTTTAATTATTTTTCAGACTTGTGCCTCCAGCGGCTCCACTGACTCCAATAGAAAGAGATCCATTGGCAACAAAACTGTGGTACGTTGGTGAAATGGAACGAACGGTGGCCCGAAACAAGCTGATGTATCGCGAAGATGGAACGTTCTTAGTTAGAATGAGTATTGATTCTGCGGGGACAAAATCCGGGGATTACGCCGTTAGTTTACAGTATGTTGGAAAAATTCTCTTTACGATCTGTATTGGAAAATACGCCTCACTTTAGATATAACGGATCGGCCAAGCACATGAGAATATCGATGATCGACGATGGACCGGGAGATGCAAAGAAATATTTTCTATCGGTGTCGAGGTTTTTCAGTAGCATTGAAGACTTAATCAAGTATTATGAAAATCATAGTTTAAGAGAAAATTTTGCATTGTAAGTAATACAGCACAATTTATAGTGAATCCCGTTTGTACCGGCCATTCACCAGTGGCAAAAAATAATTTCGAATATATTTGCAGGTTACGTGAAGATACTAGGCTGTTATACCCGTTTCGGCAGTTAAGGGCTATAGTATTAAAGAACTACGACGCTCAAACTAGGGATGAATTATCCGTACGAGAAGGACAGGTTCTTAAAGTTTTGGAACAAGATGGCTATCGGGACGGCTGGTGGAAAGGTAGGACTGGAGATAACAGGGTAAGTTTTTTTTGACTCTATTTGCTTTAGCAAGGCATTTTCATTTTGAATTATTGAACATAATTGCAATAATTGTGTTTTTATTTATTTATTTAGGTCAAAGAACGTAACTTTATTTATTTTTTGGTTTTTTATAGAAATTTAATAGGACTTTTCAGTTATTTTAGTTTATGTTAGTGTTCTGTTTTTGATAATAAATTATATTACGTAATAATGCTAACATATTTATATATGAAAATATCTTTCTTTAATTTAAAATTTGCTCGAAATAAAAAAGCACTACTTTTTACTATACACCGCCCGGTTGAAAATCTCTTCAAATAGGCCCTAAGCACTCTTGGGCATTGGGCTTTTAAAATCGATTTATCACGTGCCACAAAGCACCTTAAGTTTTCCGTTGACTGTATATGAAAAAAACGTGTTAATTTGTTTATGCTTCTAAATACCGATTAAATTGAATCTATTTTTATTACGTATTTTGAGCTGCTGAATCGAATGGCACCATCAGTTTTTCTCTAAGAATCGTCAAAAAACAGTTATAAGCAAAATTATTCTGAAAACTCGAGAACTAAGTGAAAAGGGGCAATAAATTGACCTGTAACGACCATAAGAATTGAATTTTATTTCTAATTATATATTTTTTTTGAGCAGCTGAATCCAGTAGTGTTTATTGTTTGTCTACGTAGCGATATAAAAATTTCAGCAAAAACTTCGGTTTTGCTTAAGTGCAAAATCTTCTCTCTTCAATAAAAAATTCCAACTTCCAAAGTACAGCCAGTAGAAACTTGAAAGATTGACATTCTGTAGAAGACGCTTTTATAAATGAAACTTGAACCTACATTTCTGATATTGAAAATTCGTGTGACTTTTTGAGACAAATCTACCAGACTACCAGTATTTCTAATTCTCTATCCAATGGTATAAAAATGTACTCTGTGGCTCAAATGGTTCTTCGATTTCGCAATTAAAAAAAGCAGCAAACTAAAATCTTCACTTTTTCTGGCAAAAACATAAAACAGGAAACCAGACTTCCATATCTGAAGCGGTTCTTTAGCGAAAAATTTCAAATGTGCTTGATGTAAAAATACAAAGCAGCCCAAAATATTCCCAAAGTTCGATGTATATGGGACTAAAAGTTTTACATGAACATGGCAAAATGCAACAGGGGAAAAATAATGCTAAACTTACCGAAATCTGCGTAATGCCACCTGGAAAGAAAAAAGAAAATGTGTTTAATACAGCAGGAATGTTATTGCAAATCAGCAAAACAGAAAAAGAGAAATGTAAAGAATCCCTAAAACTTTGCTTTTCGGAAAACTAATCTCATTTCAAGCTAGAAGATTTATATATTAGAAATAATTCTTACCGGCTTTCTGCAAGCTGGGGTCCCATCCTCCATTGTACACAAATTAATCATAAAAAAGTTCACTACACTTTCACACTCACGCAACCTGCCATAAGGACCACAATAATTCTATATTTCCCATTTAAGAACGCGATTCACACGACACAAAGATCACCGACCAATTTCGTCCACTGTCGGTAGCAAAGTGAACATATTCATACGAACTACAGAATAAACACGATTATTTAATCATATAATTGGTCGCCCTTTCGATGATTCATGCTTTACATGGCAGTTCGATTTCAGTTTGTTTATTCTTGACATTTTTCTAGAAAGTGCCTATTCGCATTGCATTACTTCCAAAGGCAAATTTCACATTACAACTTAACGAAAGCCAACAACAACTAAACGAAAAATGTTGCAGGCGCCGATCTTTCACTAATTTAATTTTAAATTTAAAGCCATTTATATTTGCCTGAATTTCACACAGCTGCAGTGATTAATGCACAACCCCAAAACTAAAATAAAAAAACTGAGAAAAATTACTTAAAAATGAAACTGTTGTTCAATTTCCGAGTTATGATAAAAACCAACAAAATTTTAGCTAATTAAAAATGTCCTTGAAAAAAGTTTTCGAGGATTTTTGCTTATAACAATTTTTTGACGATATTTAGAGAAAACGAAAAACCGATGAATCATTTGATTTAGAAGCTCAAAACACGTCAGAGAAAATAACTTCAATAATGAAAATCCGAAATTTAGAACAGTTTTTAGAAGGACATAATCTTATGCCTTAAACGTCCCACTTTATTCTGTATTATTCTAAGTTGCATTTTCTAGTAAACTTATGCAATAGTATATAAACATTAATTTCCAGATCGGTTATTTTCCTGTCATGATAATAAAACTCGATGGATATATAAGATTTGATTAAAGGAACTGAAGAACTTAAGACTAGTCAATCGACCGCTATCGAGAGGAAAGCTATGAATATCAGTAATAATTTTTGTATCGGGATTTAGTGGTTTTTATAAACTTAGGCATGACAACGCAGTATCAGTATTTGTATCAATATAAGTGTTCTTTTCTAACAATAAACTGAAAATTACAATAAGTAATTTTACGAGTGCTCGCATGTTTGATGATTTTGAGGATCTGAATCTGAAGGTGGCTGTTCAGATTAATTCCCAGTCATGTTGATAAAAAAAATTCAGTAAATTTCTCTATATTAGGCGTCAGACGCCTTCACGTTCCGATTTCTCAGTATTGATAATTCAAGTAATTCAATGTACCAATTTTTGCTCACGTATATTGGCCATTGCTTGTGGTGCTGATAGATAAGTATTTTCTGACGAAATTAAGCTTTTTTTATTAAAAATTGCACTAATTTCCTCAAGGCCTAACCATTTAAAACAAAAAAAGGTTTAACAATGAACCATAATTTCTACAATGAAAATTATCTCTGTATCTACATATATGTAAACATGGTAAGAGAGTCATAGTACACATAGGTTTAACTATGTTTTTAAATACATCCTGGTTTTTACGTATCTTCTATGTCAGCCTTATGCGGTCCACTCCTGGACCCATGGTGACCCCCGATCACTTTCGTCCATCTACTGTCGTCCTGTTTTGAAACATGTCCTGCCCACCCATATTTTATCTCGGCCATGTAGCGGATTCGTCTTCTTATTTTCTCGCTCTGGTCCGGTCTCTTATGGAAACCCCAATCATTGCTCGTTCGATTGCTCTTTGTGTTGTTCTCAATCGGTCTGCATTGCCTTTTGCAATTGTAATTGTTTTGAGTCATAAACTTGTGAGTTTTAAATGTATTGGAATGTCTGGATTTTGTAGGAAGCATTTTAGTTTTCCAAAAGCAGCCCACGTTAATTTCAATCTTCGCATAATTTCCGACTTTTGATGCTCCTTTCCTAGTGTAATGAGATGACCTAGATATACGTAGTCGTCAAATAATAATAATTTAATGTGATGGGTGATTGTGGTAACATGATATTGATGTTAATTTTTAGCCCTATTTTTCTTGATGTTGTATTTAATTGTTGCATCATTTCCTTTAACTCATCTGGATCTTCGGAGATGAGAACAATATCGTCCGCGAAGAGTAAGTGACTTAGGTGCGATCCGTCGATTTTTATATCCTTCTGGTTTTAGTCCATTTCCTTAACTCTATCTTCCAGTGCCAGAGTTTTACGTATAAGATACATCAAAACCAATACTTTAGTGTTTGTGCCATTTGTTAGTGATTTAAAGATTATATTGCGTGTTTTCAAGCAAATCAGAATGTACACGATGCAATTTTTTAAAGTGTATTGAGCGCATTTGAAAAGGGAGATTTGAATGATCTGATGAATGAATGTAAAATATGGAAATCTCTAGAATTTGACGATCAAGCGCATTAACATTCTGCATAGAAGGTAAAATGGTAGTAATTTAATAAATAAACGAAAATTTCAGTTCGGATCTTGTTACTACAAGCGCACGTTTTAGTGGTGCTGTCATTTTGTTAATGTTCTAAAGAAGCATATCATTTAGGAAATACATACGAAATTGAATATTAAGTGTCTTGTAATTTGTTCAAGCAAAGTAGCTTTTGTATACATATATTTTATATATCTTTGTTAACTATAAACTTACAATCGATTAATAGATTTATTGCATAGTTATTAAGAACACATTTTTTGTAATTTTAATTTCACATTAGCTGTTGCATGTTAGATGTTTTACGTCACTTAATTTAGTATACCAGGTGTCAACTAATGCGACTCAGTGCACTCAGCAATTAAAATTGCTCTTAGATGGCAATTGTTCTCATTTAGTAACGTTGTGTAAAATCTGGGCAATAAAAGACATGTATGACGCAACTCAGATTCAGATTTGAAGAAAGTATTTATGCTTTATTCGGTTTTTACCAAAAAATTAATTAATGAAATAATTTAAACATTAGTAATTTTGGTGACATTGCACAAAAATTTTCGGTTTTTCATCAAATTCAATATTTGATTCAATACTTCAGCTTTAAAATCTGGAAGTTTAACAACTTGATTATTTTTTTTATATCTACAGAAAATCTACGACAAAATTAGAACAACCAAATTATTCAGGATTCTATTCTGTATTGCTTTCAACAAATATGTAATTTTTATTAAAAAATCAATAATAACCAGTTCATACATAACACAATCTTATTTACATTATATTCAATACATCCTAGGATTGTACGAAGAAAGCAAATGAACTTGTAATAAATAAAATGTAAAGTGCCAAATGCTTTTACAGGTAAATATTTATCTGCATTCGACTATTTTATCACATTTTTATGGAAAAATAGTGTGTACACTCGTTCTCGTTAAAATTGAAAAGAAAATCTATAGTATATTTTAGGTGATCACATCGACAAAATGAAAGATCTGAACCATGAAAAAATGTATGTAATATTACGTACTGACGATTTGTAATAGATCGAATGTAACGGAATTTATTATTCCTGGAAGTTGTGTTTGATATAAGAATGCTTAGAACAACGAAATAGTATAAATTTCAGTAGTTCACAAAACTCTCGTCCGAGAATATTTTTACTAATTGATAACTATTTCATGTATAATACTTTGCATCAGATAAACAGCATTTTTAACAAGGTAGCACAACACTATTTATTTATTGAGAGATCAGGCATTTTATGTGATACTTTATTAAGATAAGTTCATAATTAATTATTATTCTGCAACTTTTAGTGAAACACTTTTAACGAGTTCATTTTAGAACAAATGGCATATCAACTAGTTCATTTTACAATTATTTTCTTGCTGGCAATTAGTGGTGTGAGATTCAATTACTTTTGGATTCAATACTCGTTACTTCGGATCAGTTATTCAAGCACTCGTTCTAGTGGTTAGTTGAGAACCGATTTTGGCATTTTATTAGTGCCCTTCACATTTGTTAGCCGGACATTTAAGTTATACAAACCAATGGAACCCTTGAATTTATGATTTCCCTAATATATATCTACGTCAAAGAGTATATAAACAGGCCATTTTTAAGTCATTTGATTCTCTATTGTACTCTCTATTGTTATTTTCGATATTGTACACAGGCATTTAGAACCCTCACGATTGTTAATACTTGCGGTTTCCAAATAAATTGTCTTGTTTAGATAATTTTTGAAACCAAGTTATTCAACTCCGACGTTGAAAATCAAACGCGGCGGTCGGTATCGGGATTTGGTACTGTACCAATTACCAGTTACTTTAGTTATCAGTTAGTCTGAGCGAGTACGAGTATTTTTGTTGATTTTTTTATTTTTTGCGTATTCGGATTAGTAACGAGTACTCGAATACCGATTAGTTACTTTTTTTCACACCACTACTGGTAAAATCGGGCAGTAGTTTAGTTGGCATTAAGAACTACAATTTTCTTAAATTGGTTCCGCATTTGGATATATCCGAACTCGTTAAAAGTTGCAAATAACCTTACATGACATTATATTTCTAAGGTAATTTTCGTGACTGTACCCGAATAATTGTTCAAATTTATACAAATTATATGTTGGAATAAAGTAACTGATAAATTCATTTGATGCCTGTAGATTAGTGACATTTCTGTATTGACTGATTTTATATTAGTATCTATAATTTACTAAATCATCGACTAATAATCGAAAATCAATGATTATGTATTGAGCATGAAAAACCACCATGTTCCAGAATGGAAACTTTAACGTATCTCTCATCATAAGGCCCAAAAATCATAAACGTATATTACTTTCTACCTAAAGAAGATAAAGGATCGATATCGATAACTATTTCTTACAGTTAAGCACTTTTATTTCGTTCAAATCGCCTCAATTACAAGTATGGAGAATTCCAAATCGATACGGTGCGACTTTATTGTTTTGAGGGGATATTAAATTCATTAATACCTTTGTGCCCAACAATGTTGACCAAAAGGGACACAGCCTTTTGAAAAACAAACTGCAATTAACTCAGATTACTAGGATAATTTCTGCATAGTAGGAGAGAACTGCATAAAGAAAACACTTAAAACACAAGTATCAAATAATCTGTAAAATTAAACATTTATTTCATACAAACATACAATAGAGAAGGTTATTGATAAAAGCTAAATAAGTATATAACAATCTAAGTACGGGACTTGGAAAAATAGATCAGGAAAAAAATAATCAGCTAATATAGCTCAAAACCGTTGTATACGTGAAACTGGGATTTTTATGTGTTTAGAACGTAATACCCTAAAATTATAATTTGGACAGGTACTGTGGTAGTATAAACTGGCTGATTCCGTGCCTGTTAATTAATTAGTCAACCTGCTAATATAACCGTGGGTAAAAAACAAGCAAAATTTAAAAGTGTAAAATTATTGAATAAAGAATGCAAATGTGATATTGTACATGGTACTTTTTGCGTAAATGAACACTTAAACTCTATAAACAGCCATTAATGTAGTCAGTCTTAACAGGAAAGACAATTCCTCGAAGAGTTCAAGCTTTATAACTGACAGAATTGGCTTGAAGCTCCTGCCAGGCGTTCAAGCTCATCTTTGGTATTTCGTCAGACGAGCAATTAAATAAAGGATTGCTAAAGTAAAGTAAAGAATAATAAATTAATTCATTCTATTTATCAGTAATGAAGCTAGTATGACTTTCCAATTCGATTACAATTTGCATGGACTTACCTAAGACCGACTTTGGCAAACGCCCTTTTCTGCATTTGTTGCACATCGTCACTATCATCGCAGATAATTCTAGCTAGTGATACATTGCCAATTTCACGCAATTGTTCGTAGGTGAAGGGCTTCGGTTGATCCGGATTATCAAGAAAATACCTATCACCTAAAGGTATAAAGTAGCAAATTAATATTAAATCAACCCCGTTTAAAAATGCGCATACCTAGACGTGTTCTTATCATTTGGTCAGCAACAATACATGAAAAAGTAGGTCCAAATAACGAATCGCTCTTAGGTTTTTCCAGCAAACCGCCGATAATGAGGTCTACATCTTGAGGACTAGCGTACACTCTTTGCAGGGCCAAAATATCCTAAATTGAGATAAAAGAATAAGGAAATTTTCGGCAAAATGAGCCAATTCTTGCTCTTACCTGTTCTTTCATAACGTCAAGGAAGTCAATGAATGAATTGGTTTCCCTCAGTCCGCAAAGTGTTCTGTAACTGGCATAACTGGGCAGGCCATGATCTCTACCTCTTTGTAAATCGAAGCTCAGTACATCAAAGCCGAATTTCCCGTTGGTATACAGTTGGTTTATTAACTGCCACGCAAAATTAATTCGTTCATTTATTTAATCAAAGATAAATAATAAGCACTTACGTCGTCAGCAAAGAAAATATCTAATCGTTGACTGGCCTGCGTAGTCAACCCTCTAGACAAAGCATCCAACACACCGTTTTGCCGTAACAGACCAGGATTGTTGAAGTAATTTCTCATGAAAATCGATTCATTGGCAGCTCGATTTTCATCGTAAAATTTGGGCATTCCATCTGATAATGATTTAAGGGAACGCATCACAGCCGTTGCAAACGCATTGGATACTGAAGCATCTGCATCTTTGTGGTAAGTTAAAGTGCCATCGTAATGATCATTGAATGATTTACCTAAATAATATGCATGTTAGTGAGAATAAAAACGCTTTTGAAATATTTACCCAAAACCAGGGGCAACCACTCGTTATAAGTAATTGTCTGCATCTCAGCGATAACAATACGTCTCGCTTCCTGAAACAGTGTTTCATCGTCCCAATGGGAATTTAATTTTCCGAGTTCCGTTGCAAGTCTGTTGTGCTCCCGGTACCACAACGTGTGCATTAATGCCAGCTAAAAAATAATTTAACTTGTTAATTTATTTTTAGCTGTAGCTGTAAGTAAATTACATATGGAAATTCTGTTATGGAAAATTAATTTTTTAAACTTAATTTAATTAATACCTGTGGTTGGAAGTTGACTCGAGCATCGCCACTTTCAAAACAGGTAGAGTTTCGTGAGAAAAGCTGACAATCGTGTGTTGGATCTTTGGATAGTGGTAAATATTCTCGGTCTTCGAACGTCGATGTGGCCAATTTACCTCCATCAAATGCACGTAATTGTTGAGATCTCCTCAAAGTTGAACCGTATATTTGAGAACCATCCAGATAGTGTGTAGCCTGATTGACCTGCAATTTAAACGTTACAAAAGCATGTTGTATGGCAGTAAAAACCAAATAATACATTTTGAGAATCTTTTTAATTTTCTCTAGGAAAAAGGTAAAAGTAGAAAKAATTTTTCCCAGGATCAACAGAATAAGTATTGTAAATCTTCAATATTCAAATAAATAAACATCACATAATTTAATWTAAAAAAGTCGAAACAGTGTCGCTTKWAATTTTAATCGCTCGATCACCCAAAAATTTCAAAACAGATTAAGCATTAATTTGTAGTAATTAGTACTTACTTGGTCCGCTGCGCCAAAACTGCAGTCCGATCTAATTGCAGGAATCGATCGCACAAAACTGAGGCAAGTAACTCCTTCTTCAGAATACTTTTTGTCGTTCGTAACATAAATCGGCGAACAAAACGGATGAACAAATCTGGGCGTTAAATTCACCCCGTCTTTACTACAGCATTCTATAGAACTGTCTGTGTGAACTAAAACAAAAACGACGAAGAAAGTTACCAGATAAGTAATTAAGAGAAAAGAAAGAGAGTAATTAATTCTTTGCATGATTAAAAGTGGTGTCAAAAACATGACAAATTTCTACCCTAACAACTCTACTAAGCTACAAACTCTCCCTACCAAGATATCGAATAGCGTCCTAAAAACGATGCTATAAATATGTTTTTATTAATTTTATGATCCTTTTTTATTTATTTATCTGATAGTTAGTTGCTAAGACTCTATAAATAGTGTTGAAACTTGATTAATAAAAAATAAAAAAACGATAAAATGAAACGTTGTTCAGAATGCGCGAATTGTTTAAATTCTCTCGCTTAAATAACTAATTAAGATCTAAATTAACGCTTTTTTACATTAGAGTACACCTTTCCGTTTCTCAAAGCTTGAAAAAGAAGATACGATTTCAACTGCAAATTATTAACATTAATAAAAACAAAATACGTCGCATATATCAAAAACTGCAAGACTTCCAAGAAATAAAAAAGTAAAGAATAACCCCCTTCCGCAGCACTTGTTTTCGAAGATCCCAGAGAACTGATATTGTATAAAAATGTTTCCTTACTTGCAACAGCAGTGGCGGATCGGCAAAGATCATGTTCCAGAAACTGGCCCCATTGCATGATAGCTAGAGTGAATTTTTTCGAAGGACGATTGGCTGTTTTGATTAGCGAACTAATAACTAATCGGGGATTTGGTAACGTTTTTCTGCTAACTGCACGCCGAGGTTCATGCACTCCATCTGAATAGTCAGCGTACAACAATCTCGAATAACTGCAAATAGACGGTGATTTTTTAAAACTGTATAAATACAATAATATGGACGTTTTTACCCTGTGAACGACTCTCCTCTGTGTGCCTTATCCAAATTGTTACAACTGCCGTTTATCGTCCTATAAGCAGAGTTGTACTGTTCTTTGTCACATGAGGATTCCAGCAGCTGGCAGGCATCAGCCAACGGAGTACCGTGGAAAGAAAATCTGGACATTAACTTGGCGCAATCTCGATCAGAGACTGGCTGAGGGCTGGCTTTTGATATCCTGGAAATTACATTGTTTTACAGCTTTACGTCCGCAGGTGGTTGGTATATATTTACTAGTATGTAAACGCAACATCCAAACACCTTGTTAAAGCGGTGCATGTATGCCAGCGCAAATAAAAGAACCGACAGATTGAAGAAGGCGATAGTGAAAAATGTGAAGATAATTGAACAAATTAATAAATTACTGTAAAAAAGTTGTTGATCAATATCGTAGAAGAAAGTTTTCAAAACATAAGATGAGAAAAATGTAAATCGACAAGCATATTTTAAAATATTTACCAAATCCTGGTACTTGAAAGAGTTTTCAATCAACTACCGATTTAAGAAAACACTTTAGACCGATTGACTGAGCTCTCAACATTAGGTTGAGTACAAAAGTGAACTGCGTAAAAAGTTTTTTTACGCCATGTGGTCCAAACCTTTTCGTAGTAAGTAAAGAAAACAATTAACTTATGAGCCATGATGACTGCGAAAACATACGCAAAACATTGGCTCAAGGACATTCTGTTTTCGATGCCTACATACGGAAGATCAATCACTCAAAATTTGTAAAAAAAATTAAAAAAATTCAGACCCGTCGGCTTATTGGAAAAAATCAGCTCCCTGAATCGGACTATTCCCAATCAGCCTTTCGCTGATAGAAAGTCGAAATATTTCATAGAAATTTATAATAAAAATACAGGAGGTTTCGTTTAAACTAAGGAAGTTGCGAGACTCTGCCGTTTCTAGCGGATATTCCAGAATATATTAAATATTTTAGTTGAAATGTGCACCTGATCAATATCTCCAAACATTCAAACTTTTTTCACAGTCAATACTTGATACATGAATCAACGATGTCCATATGGGAAACCCTGTATTACTGGAAAAACCTCTTGATCCACTGTTAAACTTTCAATATATGACGCATATCAATATTAACCTGTGGCAGTATGTGTTCAACAATTGATTTGAAGATCGTAAGGCGATCAAAGCATCTTTGCCCCTTTCCAAAGCTTCCTTCTCGGGCCCAAATGATATTAACATTCCATGGGATGGCGTGTTATCGGCCACCTGAAAGACTTTGGGTAAAACCAACAATTTATTTGGCTTCATGCATATACCTTTATGTTGGACCAAAGCAAGTTGTTTTCTAGTCTCTTCATGTAGCCAATTACGTTCGCGGCAAAATTCACAGTCTCATTTAAGTCTTTTGGTGAAATGCTATTCAAAATGCCCAAAACCTGAGGACGCGGGATCACATCTGGGATGACATCGTTGTCTTGAACACCACCTGCGAACATACTCGGCAAGTCATGAAAACGTCCGAACTCCCAATTTTTGGCCCCAAACATTGTGTTTGCAGATTTATTTTGCCGTCCAGTTTGCTCAAGTTTAATGACTTAAAATGTTTTAATTCAAATACAACAAAAAAGAATGATTTTTATGTAATTGATATAGAGAGCGCAATGTGACCCACAGAACAATACTGATTAAGATTGATAAAATTTGAAGCAAATATAGAGCTTAGCACGCTCTGCTCTAAGGAGTTTACAATCATATTTACTACACTTAAAATCGCTCTACACATATCTCACTTACAACTTCTATTTCTTTTGCAGCTCGATCCGGAAATTGTTTAAATCGGCATCGATCTTTTCAATGCCAGACTGAGAAAGTGTTTGAGAATTTGCAATCAAAATTAACGATTTTAGTTAATAAATTGGGAAATAATTGCAAATTAAATGACCAGCAAAATCTAAATAATTAATTTATGAAATGCCTGGAGAGTTTTCTTATGAGATGTATTAATTTCAACAGCAGTTAGGCCATGGAATGCTAATTTAAAAATGTACTAAACCTTGAGTTGAATTTAAAAAAAATATTGTTTCAAATTATCAAAATACTGAAGAAATATGCAGGTTCTGTAAAATGTTCTGGGGTGGGTGAAAACATGATGACTTAATCCAATTTGTTTAATCCAAAAGTAGCCGATTGTCGAAATACAGGAAGTGAAAGTTAAGATTAAAAATCGAAAAATGTACATATATCATTTTGATTGTAATGTTACTAACTGTGTGAAATTTTCTATCGGTTTTTTCTAGGAGAGAACATTAGAATTCGATAAAATTTTCTATGCTTGAAGACCGAACATCAGACATTTGCAAATCCTCTTCCAAAATAAATATGGTTTTTATCGCCCAGTGAATTTCTTATGAGAAATTTCTTCTTCATTAGATCATCTAACATTATAACACTGTACATGTTCAAAGTTCGCCGCATCTTTAGTGAAAACAAACACTTAAAATAAACATGAAAACATTCGTAGAATTACCTCAGAAATTATTTGAAAATGCAGTTTAATCGTGCTTAATCGTTTCATTGAAAAAAACTGTGGTTTTTACATAATGGCTAGACTTTTTGCGTTGAATTAATCTTTGTAATGGCGATAACGGATATCACTTTTAACATTTAATAACAACAAACGTTTAAAAAACCCATTCAGTGCACGATTTATGACAATAGCTGTACGACAAAGAAGAGGCATGTACAAAGAATCCTTGAGTGTCTACGTGCTGCCGATAGGGATCCTCCACGATATAGAGGATAGGACACGATTTATAAGTCAAAATTCCATTTTCAAAGATTTTATCTTCTATTCAACTGTACACCGCTACAGATGCAACGAACTTTGAACTTCCAATATCTCAAGAAGTTTTGCCAGTAGGGACATTTTTCATTAAAAAATTACACATCTGGTCATAAATAACTGAGCTACTAAAATAACCATTCTGTGCTGGAATTGTGTACCAACATTATATAGACAAAAAAATTTTTGATCAACCTACATAAATTATATTCATTGGGGTTTCGAACAAAGGGAACAAATTGAGGCTACAAAATCACAATGAACTTTGCCAGCGAATCACGCAAACATGAGATAAATATTGCTTAACGACAAGTTGCCACAATCACTAACCAATCAGAAGTTCCATGAGGTCTGATGAATCAGTGGGCATTTTTGTGTTCTTGTTCTGAGTTAATTATTTAAACAATAAAGAAAATGATTCAAATATATTTTTTTTTTGCTTTCAGATACTGTTAAACAATATATTACTAGGCACGTTTTTGATTAAAATATTCAATTTAATTTAAATTTACCATAAAAAACGAATCTGGCTGGAATTTATTGATATGACTGCACTTAATGCATTTATTATATTTACCAAAAAGTCTCCCGATTGGAACTCTAACGACCGAAATGGGCGAATAATTTTTGACTTGAACGCGGAAGCTTTACCAAACTGTGAGTTTTAGGTAGGAACAAATCCACAAGTTTCATTAAAATCCTTCATAACATTCCTCTGATATTACAATAAACAACATATTTTTGTAGAATGATCAATATCAGTAGTACCTACCCTTCTGATCATGTTCTTCCGAGATTTATTTCCATCGAGCATCTGATAATTGTGCTTTAATGTAATAAGAAACACCCGACGCAAACAAATTTTCACCCATTTATCTAATTTCCTATCCCTCGCTGTTTATAAAACTACCATTAGAAAGAAGCCTACCTTGAACACACTGATACAAGTATGATATCAGGTAACTAATAATAAAAGTTAAGTATCACGAAATCATTAAGCATAATACGCAAATCATCTACTTAGTGGTAACCAAATGCGACTTAAACCAGTCAATTGAGAAATAAACAATTAAAATGCGGTGGATACTCACACATCTAAGTTTCGCAAATTAAAAAACAATTTTTTCAATGTAACTGAATTAGAATTAATCACTCTAGCTGGAATTAAGGAAACTTAATTTCCATCCTGAACACGTGCAGTATGAGTGATTTTAATTCGCATCTTAAAAATAAAATAAGCAAGTTGGCACGAACTATTGGAATGTTATGTTAAAGGAACAAAACAAAGTCCGAGCTATTTTCAAACGATCAGTTAATAATAAAGTTCATTTATGACTCAAATGCGGGGTTTTCGTGAAGAAGCAAAATATTGTTATAGCAAAATATCCTTCAACTCTTCGGAAATTTGAAAACTGTTAATAAGAAGTGGACCAAAAAGAACTTTGTTAGTAAAAAAAGTAATGATATTTTGAGAACAGCTTATTTTATTATACAGGGTGTTATTTAAGTACTTCAGCAGGTGATTATCTGAATAATTTTGAGAAAAAAAATTGTATACGTAGGTCCAGAAATGATTCAGTTTTTCAATATACAGAGGCTGTCAAATAATAAAGTAAAACCTATATACATTATTTTTTTTTATCTAATTGATAGAAGTCACTCTTAATCTGTGCGAAAAAAATAATAGGTGTTTTTGTGTGATTTTAACTGCTGAATAGAATGGTTTTTTAAATTACTTTGATGCTGTTCCAGGACCTGGAACAAATTGGGTTTTATTTTTTATCTCGAAAATGAAGCGAGATATGTAAAATAGTCAAGTAATAAAAACGTTGCATTGGAAGTCCCTTAATTCGAAAAAAATACAAAATTGAAATGAAATCAGTGGCGCGTATATTTTAGTTAAAAATATTGCCCCGGTTGCGGCCAAATTTCAACAATATCGAGAAAAATATTAGGTATTAAGTTATTTACGAAAAACCTTTCTATTTGGAATATTAATACACCGTTATTTGTTGGAGACAATGAAGATTACTGTTATTATTTAAAAATTAAATTTTCGATTAAATGTATTTAATTAAGTGATGTCCATTGTGCAATTTTAATCTCATACTTTCAAGCAAGTTTCTGGATTTCAAATCTGTTAATCAATCAGTAAATCTTACTCTTAAAATCGTGTGTTTCTAGAATTGAGGATTTTCAACTATTTCTGCAAATGATAATAGTTTCAATGATATTCTAGCGTCGTATACATTTTCCGCTGTTGATTGCAGTTGCTAATCATTAATTTCCTTAATTTTTTCAGTTAAACTATAGATTATTCTTCGATTTTTTTAAATTTAAAAAATGTTCATTGCAAAAAAAAAGGGCAAAGCGGGCATTTAGCGCATAAACTGATGGGATATTTCATAAACACCCGATGTTTTCAGAACACACCAACCAACACTTTTCATGTAGAAGCATACCATTAAATGTTCTCATATGATCTGTATAATTTGGAAAACATACAAATTAGCGCTAACAAAAATCGAACGTGGAGCAATTTGTCTGTAGACTTCATGAAAAAAGTTTATTTCTCACTCGCGTGTGAATCGCCTAATAAAACTGGAAAAACCCATTAACATTAATTAGCAAAAGTTAACAATTTATCAATACGAGTCAATATTCTAGGCAACATTTAATGGAAAGTGCAGTTGGCGATGTGAATGTGAAAAACAGTTTATCTTTGACGATGACGATGATAGAGAATGTTTTGAGTTTGAAAACTGTAACAAAAAAATACAAATAGAATATAGATGTGTGAATGGCAAACATGGCCTTATTGAAAGCACGTATTAAGTCAACCACCGATAAAATATGTAAATAAAGATAGTCTTATGTTAGTTTTGCGACAACTCTGGAAATTAACAAAAGAGATGATAACAAGATTATCGGTTTTCTTAGTTAACACCCTGTACTACATATCACGCATTTTTAAAACCAGGAAATGTGTTTGCTTTTTTCATATAAACAAATTTTCACGGAACAGTTAGCTCAAATTTTAAATATTTACATATAAAGCACAAGTTACGAGTTTAAATTTAATTACTTCATTCATTCATAGACTGCACTTGTACAAATATTACTTTGTATTTAGCGATTTACAGATATTCGATAATGGCATAATTCCTTTATATTCTCAATAATTTTCGCCGATAAGAAAATTCCACACAATACTAAAAAGTGTCTAAACCGAACAAAAATTGTATTATGTKAATTGTGTCATCAGCGCCCCATTATAAAAGGTTTAAGAAAGAAACACTTTTTAAAAAATACCACCTAGTAGATTCTGCGAATATTTGCAGGAATTATAAACAAAAAAGTTACAAAATCTTGAAATTTCAACAAGAAACCGAATTTCAAATACTACCTATATTTATATCATTTTGTATTCATGAAACAAGCGAAAAAAATGTCATTCCATTTACACATAATATTTTTGGGTACCCTCTATACTAATGTGCAATATTCGAACCGAATCAAAGCTATTTGGATTGTTTTCATTATTGTTTTGCCAAATAGTTTAGGACTGTTCTAACTGTACCCATATACCAATAATCAATTATCTACGTCCCTGGTCATTTCTTATGAGCCTGTTTAACACAAACAATCGAGTGTTTTTAAAAGTAGTGACTAAGTAACAGATACTCATAAAAACAGACCAGCAAAAGCTTTTCCATTTCACCCTTTTGGCAAATAATATTCTTACCTTTTAACAAGTTAAAATGTTATTTTAACATGGATTTGAATTTAACCATCATGAAATAATTGATGAGATTATACTCCACGTATTTTTGTGTTTACTTAATACAACCTAAAAGAGAATGGTTGTAGAACAAGACAAATGTTACATACACTTGTATGAAATAGAAATGAAAATAACAGCTTTATTGTTTATTTAAAGTTAAAGTAGAGAGAATAAATATATCTAGAGAAAGAGTGGAAATGTTTATGTATAAACTGGATAGTTACCATGAAAGGGTAGAATAACTGTGCTGGGAGAAAATACTCTGGCCTGGATTGACAGGATACATAAAAGTATTCCGAAGAGAGGCATCGCTATTTTTGCACTCGGCATGTTGATTGTAAAACCAATCCTGCAAAACAAATTATAAATCAACAACAAATATTTTCTATGTTAGGTCTTCGTTCAATCTAATCTGTTCTACTACTAATCGAAATATATACGCCTGTTGCTGATGGGGAGATTATGGAAGATACGCAGTGGGGCGTTCTCAATAAGCGTCCGTGTTTGAACTTATTGAGAAACCGAATATTTCATGCCAAATTTTACTGTTTATAAAAATACAAATGCATAGTGAGTCCACAAATAATACATTTCGTTGATAAAAATCCGCCCGCGGGCTTCGTTCATCTAGCCATTGTTGAACATTTAGTACGTGCACAGAATTAATTTTATCGTGGTTTCCGGTTCACTAACCCTATTCCTGACCACTGAATTTCTTATTAATATCCTTTAATTTGTAGTTTTGTAGATTTGTAACAAAAGTTTTTGCGTTCTCCGATTTTCTAAGACTGTAATAAAAGTTTGTCAAAAAAACCTTCATACAAAACCCATTAAATAAATAAATGAGATAATGAAATGGAATTGGGAGAAACACTCAAAGATATAAAACATTTGATAGTGTCGCACAACCAAATTGAAGTTGTGACATACACTTGAAATCGCAAGTAAAACTATTTTCTTCATTAAAGTTGCAAACAAAATAAGCAGAGAACGGAGAGAAGCGTTAGAACGGAACATGAAAACATTCTTTCGAACAAAGCGATAAGAGAAAATAGTTAAACTTTTGCATGTTCAGTTTTTTGCTGTTATTTTGCCAATTTAAATGGAAACAAAACACAAATAACTGAAGGGGAATAAAAATGTTTGAAATTTTTGGGGAGACTTAGATATACTTATAAGAGCAACTCAACTTTGGTTTTCGATTAATCAATTACGAAAACAGTGTTCAATAAAATGCATAATTAATTAATTACAATCATATGCTGTGACTGTAATATGAGTAATCATTTATATTAATTTGCATAATTCTGTCATTCAAAACAGTATATATTTAAATGACGATAGTCAACGGAACTTAGGTATATAAATATTTATTTAAGCAAGAAGACATCAATTAATAAATAATTCGAATTGATTAACGCGATTAGAGAAAATTGCGGAGAAAACGGTTGGATATTACAGATAATATTTTCATATCTTTTTACTTTAGTAGCAAATAAAAAAAAAAATTTTTTAATTAATTAAAAATGTTAAAGTTTAAAATTGAAGATCAATTGGGTAAAGTATTTCTCCTTCTATTTTAAATAATACATGGTGTTTCACTAAATATTCACATTTATATAGAATTTCATTGTTGATAATGTCTGATAGATTCTAAATGAATTTAGAGAATGATGATATCTGAGATCAAGATGTAAGGTTCATTTGTATAAGTTTGTTAGACTACTTGAGTAATAAATAAACTTTAACCTATTTGTTGTGATAAGATACCCAAAGAAACCGTAATAAAATTAAATACTGTGCGCCAACCAAAACATTTATTGCACTTTCTTCGTTAACATACCGGAAAATAAACTTTATGGAAACAAAACATGTAAAGTTTACTGCGAAGACATTTTCTTATCACATCTTGTGCACGAAAGCTTACTGCAAATAACATGCATTTGGGTCAACTATCGTTAACACAAACGGCTTCAGCTCTGAACTAAATATCTAACTAAAAAATAGCTTTAAACTTTCAGTGTAAATCAATCAAAAACGTGAAAAACTTGTATATGAGTGGCACATAAATACGTTTAAAATAAAAAGCATACTTAATCAGAGCTATTTTGGGCAAAACCTGAAAAACAAATTTAATCTTGAACGCCATAAGCGTCTAAAATTGGATTTTTAAAACTAGGGTCTGATCATGTTTCAATTATTCAACCAAACAGAACGGAAAATTGTACCTACATTTATGTGAAAATGTCTCCAAATCTATAAAAATGTGAGAGTAATCACTTGTTTTCAACGAACTGATACGAAAAAGTTTTCAAAGTCTCAACGCGTCCAGATAAAACACTGAACTTTTCAAAGACACGCTCCAATTGGTTAATATGAAGAAGCGGTACCACGAATGATAATGAACCGACAAAGTGTGGGAAAAAACATCACCAACCTTCAATTCGGTAGCTCAGACTGAAGCACTGGCTTAGTTGTTTACAACTTAAGTAATAAGTTTGACGTCAGTGCGGAATATACGAGGCACTCAAAAGATTTATTCCTCATATTACTCATAATACACTAAATTTACATTATGAGACGAAACGAAAGCTGCCATAATCAGTAATTATAAAATAGTAAGAAATATTAGGATTTGCAATTTCCGAGGCCAGTATTAACGTTTTAACATAGATATTTTCAAAATTGCCTGTTTTCACTGTATATGACGATATTTGAAATGAAAAATTCAGTTGATGCTTGAGCTGATTTAAATAAAAAGGAAAAATGTTGCGCAGTTATATTAAATATAACTATAAAAACTAATAATAATAATAATACATATTAGCATTATAATTTGAGCGCCCTTCCCGTAACATTTTTAAATCAACTTACACAAATACACCACACTGGTTATTTCTGCAGTAATTCATTAAATTCCTCTTAGGAAGCATACAATAAAATCACTTTTTTATGGTTTTTATATTAACTTTATATTTATCATAAAGTACTATTTCCCAATACTGTCCTAAGGCCTATCTGCAAATGCAGCAGGAAATTAATGGAAATATGACGATATATGTACTTAATATAGTAATATTTTTCAAAACTCGTTTTAAAACTCGCAATATTATTTGTAATTTATTAAAGATTGTAATCTCATTCATTTTGCTAGTTTTGTAATTATTGTTACGTGAGTCGCATTTGCTGGTCATTAATTAGAAGTCAACTAGATATACGTAAGTAGGATTTTCCGCCTTTCATTTTGTTGAGAAAAATACTTTATCACGTTTTGCTAACAAGACCGTTGGCATCTTCAGAGGTGATTATGCGCCCCATTCAAAACACTTACTGCTTTCAGAATTTTTCTGATTCAATAAAAGGTTTTGAATGGTTTATTTGTTCCCTAAATTACGATGATATATTAAATATCTATCAAATGCAAGCAATGAAAGATTAATTTTGAATCGTCTGTCTCATCAAACCCATGACTATTATCAATATTTGTTTAAATCTATTGAAGACAATTATGCTTCGTTTTTAAACATCCCCTTTTACTCTGTTCAATCAGCTTTACCCATCATGTTCTGTCGACTAAGTCTAAGAAAGAATGTCGCTGATACTGAAACAAAAATATGAATGATGGAAGCAACAAGAGCTCACAAAAAGACATTATGATCTTTAATTTGTTGAACAAGTTATTTATCAAAAGTGAGCAGTTTCATATATTATCAAAAAACGCTATATGTATATAAAGTATGTCTTATTATTTTCTATCTAATTTATCTTTAGGAAAAAAGTTACTTTTCATAAAAAGTCCACATGTTCTAAAACCTAAAATGCAATTTTCAAATATTTAAATTTTCCTGGCGATTTATCAAAAAATATTAACTTTGCCCAAGAGTGAAGAATAAATATGTAAGTAGGTTAGGTAGGTTTTGCAATGAAAATATTATTCTTCCTTTTTTTGAAACGTATTTTTAAACTAACAATACAAATTTGACTGTATACATTGTAAGTGTAAATAATAAGAAATACAATAAAGCAATTACTGATAATATAATTGATAAATAATTAATATTGTAGAAACAGTTGTAGAAAACCAGCATTTTTTTCGCCAATAGCTATAATTGCGTATCGGAACGAGGTTCTTACTTCTGGACAACTTTTCAATAGCAATTGTTGATATTGTCAAAAAATGTACTTTGCTCTTGTCCAAAATTAATATTTTTTGTCAAACCTCATATAAGCCTGAATAAAATTAATATCTGATAGTCTAGAATCACTTTTGACCTAATATAACAATAAACAAATTTTCGATATGCTTATATATATTTTTAATCAGAAAATCTGTTATTGTTGCTTTATTCAAAATCCGTCATATTTAATTTTAGTTGCGTTTAGAAAAAATTGTTCGATTCAATTCAACGTCAAAATAAATCAATGTTTGACTAACATTAACAAGCTAATGTTTAACTGGTCTCAAAATGGACTTCTTATCGGTTAATAGCAAATTGTAAGAAATAGTGGATAAAGGTACTAAAAAATAGGTACGCAATTCAATGTGACATTAAAACAATAATAGGCAATAGATTAAGATTTCCTTTTTAATCATAATTTCAATTTCACATGGATAATGTGGCATTGTTTCATTGTAATATGTTGAAATGAACTGATAAGATATTGAGCAAAAAATTAAGATGATTAAGTGAAGTCAAAAACTGAAAATAGTTCAGCAATCCTATCATACATCTGGAAACATACTTCTCAGTGAATYATTGTTGAAAATCTTCATACTGGTGAAAATATTCMTATTAATGGCAAAAGTACATACAAAAATGTACACCAATACAATAAAATAATRACGGCTGCGACAACTACTTTACATGGGAAAATGAAGACATGATTAAAYATAATTAATGTTATTAAGATTAAAGATAAAAACTTTAAGTAAGACATTTGACACAAAATATCTATAGGAAAATGTTGCCTATTTCAAAAGTAAGGCGAATGTAACATGGCCACAATTTTGTTCYACTATGTATATTTAAAAAAAAGACRGATATTCTCAATTATGTGCGATTCTGAGATTATTGGCTTATAGTAATATGTAATATACATGTAAGTACAGCTAGGATCCTACCGTTTTTTCCTGYGACTTATTCGGWATTGAGCGTCAAATAAAAAATTAAGTTTAAAAAATGTACGTAAAACAAAGAGAAATAACAATAAAATAAATACAAACAGAACAAAGGAAATTACTTTTAATACTTTACTTAAAATGTTACTTGTGTTTCAAAACCAATCTAGTATCTGATCATTTTCCTTAAACAAAATTAGCAATAAAGAGATGGAATCAATAACATTGTGTTCGTCTTTTGCAACTAATCTACAGATAATTTTTTTCCAACAAGTCCTATTGTCTTTCGAACACCTTGTATCTAAATAACATCAATTCGCAGGTGAGACACATTGTTTACATGTAGATAAACATTGCCTTTTAAGGTCGTGTTTTTACTTGTAAATTTACAATTTATGTTGAAAAAAACCTTGAATTAAACCATACGTTTACATATACTGAATAATATTATTTACGTGTATCTAAGAAAAACATTTCCTCTCTTCTATCTGTTTTAGTCATATTTCTGTTTAATAGATAATATAAAAATTCCAAAATATAAATAAAAAATCCAAATATTGTAGTTAAGTAGATACAAATGTTTTAATTATGAAATATTCACTTTTAGGTGCACAAATCCGAATACTTGCATTACATCCACGTTGAACATCAAAGAACAGAACGATCTGCCAGAGTATATACTTGAAGTCTCAAGTGGTACTTATTTTTAAATAAGCTCGAGATGGTTAACCAATTGAACGTTTTTGGAACTACTCAGATCATGTGTTGCAGAACCACTTAGCAAATCACTTATAAACATTATAAGACTCTTTAATTCAAATATTTCAATTCGAATTCAAAATAGACAATTTTAAAGACCAAAAAATTACAAATTTTGCGATCAGACAAAAGCGTAGGATGTTTTTAATCTATAAAGAATAGGTAGGTTTTTTATTTATTATTTTTTACTTATTTTAGAAAATTAATAAACTCAGTCCCTTCAATCAATCCTCAACACCCTGTATTTTCCTAAATTGCATTTCGGACTTTTGGTTCATTTATCCTAATAACTTAACGTTTACCGTATAATCGAATGCAACTGATTAAAGAAACAATATACATACATACAATAAAATTTTACAAGTCAGTTTGGGTTATTTTGAGCACCTTTCGTGAATGAGATTTTCTCATATTTAAATATGATTATTGCATAAAAATAACGAACACCGGTTATCTCAGTTCTGTAACAATCAATATAGACAACGTACACCTCGCAACGTATACCAAGACATTGAATGGAGTGAATAACATATAAAACTTAAAAAACAACAATAAATTTAATTAAAAATTTAAATAGGTATTTCATTGGTTGATAGTAGCTTTATGCAACGGGTCTAATAATGGAACTGTTCCCAAACATATCTATTTTGGAAGCCGAGGTCAAGTCAATTGTGTTCAATCAAGCAATTAACAGACAACAATCCAATTTTCAATTTCGCTTTAAACGTTAACTGGTAAAATAATTTTACAGTAATTAAAGCAAGACGTTTTTGCAACCCCTTTCGATTATTGAACCTGCATTTTAATCGATGTTTTCTTAGGGGTTTTAGTCATTCTAGTACGAAAATTTAGTTCTTATAGTCGTATTAAAACGTCTCTATTTTCAAATATATTTTGTCTCATACTATTAACAGGCGACTATGAGATATTTATTTATGCACATTAGCAGGAGAGCTCTAAAAATACACATTGATAATAAGTGTTTACCAATATATGTGCTTATGATTTTAAGAAAATACGTGTTATTGCGTTATCCTGTTGATTACTTTCAAATTAATATTTATTATTGTACTTAGTTGTATGTTTTTCTCCTGTAACTAGTTAAAGTGCATATATTTGTAAAGCTAAAAACAATTTTAAAAATCTAAATCAGGCGAAAAATAATTATACAACGTTCACTGCTCTTTAATGTATCACTTCCTATAAAACCTGCTAAATTCAGGAAGCAATTAACATTTTAAAATGCCATTTAAATTCGTAGGTCAGCATTTGAATAAATTAAGTTGATTGTGATATTTGGAAAGCAAACTGCATGATTCTAGATTCGATTTAAACAGATTTGTTCAAATTACTCAATAAAATACTAACGCGCGGTCAAACATTGTATAATTTATTAAGATCGCTATTGCTAATATAGTTTGTGCGTGACATGCAAGTAAAAAAAAACGATTTATGAACGCAATGAAGCATCATTTATTATAAACTGATCTGGTTCTTCTTTTGTACATTAATTCCACTTTTTATTGAGCAATGACCTTCTACTAGCAATTCTTATAACATTCTTAGAACAAGTCATCGGCCCCATTATGTATGTAAAAACTACGATGTTGGATCTCTATTTGATTAAATTTTGTGAAGAAATAATTTGTCAGTTTTGCAGCAATTTTAAACGTATTTTTCAATGCTGAGAGCATGAGTTTGCAATCCCAAGCTGGCAAAGTTGGGACGGAAGTTGCGGGCCTCGGCTGCTTACAATTAAAACCTTCAAAACTTTGCGAAAAAATCATAAAAAATATATATTATTTCCCGTATTATTAGTTTGCTTTACATTTTTAGAGAAACTTTATAAAGCTGGACGAGGCATTGTTGCATGTTGATAAAAACAACCCTATAAAGTTGAGCCTTATGAATGGTGCAATATTTCCAACTTTTTCGGAATGTATGAAGATATTTAAAAGTTTTTCAAATTTCGCGGATAACATTTTAGACGTTAGACATGTGTAGAAAATATAGTGATACAGAGGCAGTTCCACAGCATCTTAAAATTAGACAATTCGACCTCCATCTCCATCAGTTTCTCATATTGCCAAATTAGGTAAAAACAATTCTTAAAAAACGAATCGCCTAATAGTTATTCAGATACTTTGATGGCTTCTCAGACGAAAAGTTCCTAAACTTGTGTTTTCAAATATTTAAAAAGTTATAAATTTATGTCAAATCCTACTTAGAGAAAGTCTATTAAAAAGATCCATATATGATTATTCAGATCTTTTTATCTCTTTCCAAGATATGAGCTTTTAAAGCTCTATAAAATTGGAAATTTTTAGTTTTATCTCGTTAGAGTATACGAATAACATCACAGGAATAAGTTAAGTATAAGTACCGAATTAGAAAGCAGTTAGTACCATTGGCATAACATATTAATGGAGCTTAGCTGTAGTAAATAGCTGTAAATTAGACTTTAATGTTATCGAGCTAAGAAGAAACGGATGAGAAAAAAGAGATCATACGGGTCTTCAGGCGTAGGTCAATAAAAGGCTAAAGAGCAATATGCAAGTGCTCAACTATTTTCAATTCATAAATATTATTATTATTCATAAGCAAGGAAATAAATAGATTTGTCAGAGAAAATGAGTAATTCCGTAACAACGTTTTATAACGGTGGTTATTTATATTGGATTTCCTGTTATTGTTATTGGGACAGCTGTATGCAATACAGGGTGCAGCAGAAACCACTAACCAATTACTTTTTGCGCATCATCATTGTGTAAATGTACTCTAGCTTGAATGCCAAATTTTGCCCCTTCTAATTTGCGGATCTTGCCTCATCGATTTTCGTCTGCTTTAGCACATATTTTTTTCTCACATCTTATTTTATATCATTAATTTTTAATGATAGTATATGTAAGGAATTTTTATTGAAGCGTATCCAATTGAAAACAAAACATATATTTGTACAAATTTAATATTACACACCAATATGGGGAAAGACGATACTCCCTATTTTAACAATTTGGGAGTTCACAGCAGTTAAATACATCGAAGGACATTACTTGTAAAAGAGCTTAATTTATAAGCCTTCCAAAGCAGGTCAAAAATTATCAGATGATGTTTTATAGATCATAGAACTTGAATCTGGATGAAAAAGTCAGCGTTTCCATTTAAAAACTCAACGTGACCGTCATAACTTTATTTTGAGCTACCCTGTATACATCAAAGTAACAGAAATAAATAGTGGCGACAACCATAACACTTCTTCTGTAATATCTAAGAGGGCGTGTTGCTTCGCTGATTCACCCTGTAAATTTTTCTCGTTTGCCAATAGTTGCATTTCAAAGCGTAACTGAAAACGCAGGTTCACCTTAGGACCAAGAATCACGTCCCATTAACGAACCAAAATGTAACGTGTACGAATCGCCGAACAATATGACGTGATAATCACGTAATATGATTTGTGTTGTTTAATAATAGTGGTTTTAGTTACATTAAGTTATAACTGTTGACTCCAAGTTTGGATCAGAAGTGAGTTGGGGCACGTTTGACGGACGCTTGTAGCTACACTTAAATTAATTCCAACCAATTTAATTTTGTTTAATTACTCACTTTTACATTTCCTATATTAGTATGTTCGGGTGTATTATCTCGATGGACCACCTGACAAATGCCGATAGTTAAAACTTGTTTATATGTTGTAAGTTTATTCATTTCAAAGTAGGCAGTTAATCTTTGCCATAAATAACAAGTAGTATAAACTAACGCGCTTTATATTTATAAACAAGTTTTAGTTAAATTTATGTTTCTAGTTGGAAGTTGGTTACATTAAGACAAATAATATTGTCGCTCCTGATACTTTTATCAGATTAAGACAAATAATATTGTCGCTCCTGATACTTTTATCAGATATTAATTTGGTAAATACATATTCTTGTCCGCATGAAATACAATAACATAAACTATGAAAATATAACTTTGTTGCTAATTTAAATTAAAATCCCTTCTTCAATCTTCAGCATATATCAGCTTATTGTTAATTTCATGCATCATAAATTATACTCACTTGTTGGTAACAGTTTATCAAATTAGGAAAGCACTATTTAATATACCTAACTACAATTTTTGTAAGACAACTTTTGACAATAACAAACAAGTGTGCTGACAGTTAAACTGCACCGATGCCAATTTGTTACAATAGCAGCAAATATGAGTACTTTGTGAGTTGAGTGTCTACTTTGTCTATTTTATTCTGGAGGCTCAGAATAGTCCTGTTTATGATAAAACATAAATATACCGTAGCTGTAGTTTTTCCTATTATTTTTTACGCTATTTGTAATTGACAATTATTTTTGACAATGCTCTCTTATTCTGATCGTTACTTTTTGTGAAGGACCTGTGGCAACACTCCATGCATACATTAGACGTAAACGTCATGTGACGTGAGAAGTTTTGTTATTGTCTGAAAAATTGATGTTTTTTAGATAGGTTTTTACATATCCCACGCAAAGCACAAAAGAAAGGAATGTAAAGTAAAGGTAGGAATTCGTGTAAGTATAAAATCGATGACATTGTTTAACACATCCATGCTACTCATGTAGGAAGCGTAAACATGGGAAACTCTGGCCTGAAGCAACACATTGAGACTGCCCAAAAAACTGGTGTTCTTAAATTGTCTCCGGGAAAATTGAATCAGTTTCCACCGGGATTTCAGCAGCTGGAAGGATGCTTGAGGACACTAGATCTGTCGGATAACAAATTTGTTGTGTTACCGCCAGAAATAAGTCGCTTCATGCAACTAAGGCATCTAAACTTGGGAAAGAACAAGTTGAGTAAGCTGCCGGATTCCATCGGAGCCCTAACCAGATTAGAGACTTTTAATGCTTGTGAAAACACACTGACTTCTATTCCAAGAACGTTCTCCAATTTGATTCACCTTAAACAGGTAATTCTAAATGGTAACCAACTCAGACAGTTTCCAACTGTATTTTGTGGATTAAAACATTTAGACCTGCTGGATTTATCGGGAAACTCAATCCAAGTAGTTCCGAATGACGTTTATAATTTATACGTAATAGAATTAAACTTAAATAGAAATGAAATATCTAGCTTCTCTCCAGAAATAGCGAATTGTCCACGACTGAAAACATTAAGACTTGATGAAAACTGTTTAACTCTAAGTGCTATTCACCCTAGAGTATTAGCGCATAGTCAAATTTGCAATTTGTCTTTAGAAGGCAATCTTTTTGAATTAAAGGAACTAGCAAACGTCGAAGGCTATGATGCTTATATGGACAGGTTTACTGCTGTAAAGAAAAAGCTGTTTTAGATTACGCAAAACTGAACATTCAGCTTTTACAGCCTCAAAACAAGTGTATGCTTACTTTCATATAATACTAAATATAATGCATTCTATCATGAAAGTATTAAGCTAACAGTTTATTACATCTGAATGGCCTAGAAAGATAGATATTATATAACACATGTTCATCATACTTGATCAGCAGAAAGATATTAGTATGTGGCATTAATAGTATCGGTTAATTTAGAAAGCAGTAACTAATGAATTGGGAAAGTGTTACTCGAAAATATATAGTAGAATTAGGTAGTCTGATTAGAATAGTTAATTTATTGTTTTATTTATTTACACTACCGTCTTCAACGATTACTTCAACCACAGCAGTAATTTCATCTTTATGCAACTTTGTCTAGCAGATAATCACCACTATTCTACCACCCTAGGTAAAGTCTGCAAGAGAAAATTACCCAGATCCTAAAATACTAAGCTCACGGTAACGATCCAGTATTTCTATTCCTGATTCTCTCAGGTTTCAAAGTCTAAAACTGAACTAGATTTCTGTTGATATTATTCTTTATTATGTTTTCGCAGTAGAATTAAGCATCAGCTAATTCATTCGCTTGACTATGTAGAATACAGTTGCAAACGATAAAAATGCAGATACCTATAACTTATTTGGTTTACTTCCCAATTAAAATCTGAAAAATAATTGATAAATCACCTACAAACCGTTTGCGCCAAACAAATATTATTTAAATTATATATATGTACACAGTTAAAACTTAAATATATACACTAACTTCAGCACTTGATCAAAAAGTATTCATATTCCAAGTGTTAATTGTTAGTTTGTAATATAATACATATAACTTGATGGTCTAAATGTTCACTTTGAATTATATCTCACAGTGCTTTTGATATTCCTGCGGCTTAGCAGCATGGTGTGAAAATGGCTGTTTGTACTATCTGATTCAAAAACTCTTGTCTTTTGCTCACTTTTCTATCTTCGCTTTTAACATAAAATATATGTATTAATAACATATTTTTCTATTTGACACTTATGTATGAAAATCAACTAAATAATATATTTTATATAACTGTGGTCCAATTATAAGCACTATGATTCCAAAGGCTGTACATCTTTCACTATATGTCCACAATTTACAAGATTCTTATATTCCCTTTATTATATAGGTACTTACTTAATTTAATTGTTCTTAGTATTTGTATACAGTTTTGAACATTTGTTATTATTGATAAGTCGACAGAGTAGTAGTGAATGGTTATGCAGAAGTATACTAACTATATGAGTAGTATCAGATAAACATATTTAAGATTGTACGATTATTTTAAACAGAAACATACGCGCATGTATTTATTTTAACTAGTTTCTCTCAATATCGTAAAATAAAATAGTTTTGTAATTTCTTTCAAACTTACTATCGATGTTTAAATGTTTTCAATTAAAAAATAAAATAATTAACCAGAAGTACTTTCATTCGAAATATAGACAATCATATTTATTCGAATTTGACTGATAAATTAATAGTTATTATTTATTGGGTTCCTATTGAGCTATTCCATAATAGTCAATTATATCATCATGTATATTCGATCGAAAATATCAACTTTTACAATTAAAACGTACAAACAAGTATTTAATAATAACAAAAGTCGGTTAATTTACTTCTATAAAGTAGTGTAGTTAATTAAAATATAATGAACTTATCATAATCCAAATGTCCTATTACGGGAAAAAGTGAAGTTGGTTGGGTTATTATTGAATTTCGTATGTTTCTAGAATGAAAAACTTTCCTATCTGAGTGTTGATACGTGATGCTGTCTATTTGAGTAACATCATTCAATAAACTACCATTTTTACATTGAAACTAAGTTACTAAATAGAAAAATATATTTGATTATGCTGCATCCAAGGTTTCCACCAAAGTTAAATACATGTCTATTTTTGTTAATTAATTTATACATTTTATTAATATAAGCATGAGTACAAAAAGTGTTTATTATGTACGTTTCTAGCAAATTGCCTGTGTTTTGCATCCTGTGTGTAAATAAATGTTTATCTATATGTAGGGAGATTTATTTGGTATAATAACCGATAGCCATTTACAAAATCACATCTATATTTTACTGGGTAAAACCCATCGTTTGGGAAATTTAATATGGAGTAGGAAAAACGCAGTAGAAACAATAAACATCTTTATTATTTACTTTAAACCGTAAACAATGCATATAAATAAAATTGAAAGTTGCTAATTTAAGTCATTTTTATTTTGTTCTTAGAAGGAGATAATAGTAAAAAATGCCTTGTATGTTCTGGCTGAAAATACACCAAAGCAACTTATCCCCTTTTAAGAAGTCAAAAAAGCATCCAAAACAACCATTTCTATGCTCCTAATAATGTTTTCATACAATTTGTATAAACAATATTGCATAATTTAGAAGTTATTTGACAAATATTATGTTGATTCGAGAATTTTTCTGTCATTAAAAAAATGATAGTTTGTTTGCTCTTAGTTCTAATCAAATGATAATTTTAAATGATTTATAAAATGTTTGAAAATAATATTACCTTATGCTAGAAACAATCACATTCGCAGTTAAATTACCAATCATTAGGATGCATGTGGAAAAATGGGCGATTTTAATTAAAAAGGCTGCATGTTTATTGTTTTGCAATTACCTTATAGTGACTCTTTCCATAGTACAACAATTAATATTAATAGTTATCACACAAAACAAGTACCGAATTGTTTGAGGTGTACTATATAACAAGTGGTTTGATGTCAGTTACAGAATGAATAACATTCTCAGAAGCCAATTGGGTTTGCAGCAATTTATATTTCTATACCACAAGTGTTTTTCTTCAAATGTCATTAGTTTTCCACTAGATAATAAAAACCAATTATAGTCCATTCTACATTTAAAATTGATATTCGAAAATACAGCTCTTCATTTTTGTATTATTAATGTCATTTATTTTATCGAAGTATTGCAATAAAATAATCAATTGGTCAAGTGACTTAGATATCCTTTAATAAGTTTCATATGAAACTAGTCTTTGGAAGATCATTTGGTAGAGTAGTTTTAGATACTTAATGCATACGCATTAACAAACGATGGCTGGAATGAATGTTCTAAAAATATTTCTTCAGTCAATGAAGCTCGACTACATATTACGGTTTTATCAACATGATTTATAGTCCATACGTGCCTTAATCAGTGGCATATTTGAGTCATTTTAGTATCTTACTACGTCACACCTAATTAGATTTTTACTTAGTCAAAACTACCCTGTGTCAGTGGCAATGTTCCGTGACGTCAACAATAACTGATTTTTTCCATCCAAACAGGAAATATCCTACTCCCGCGCCCAAAACCACTGCTATGCATAGCCACACGTTGTACGTCATGAATATCAGCATAAGAAAGTAACTGAGAATCATCTGAACCATATGCAGGAATGTCTGGTAAAAGTGGATTTTACTCAACATTGTTGGCCTGAAATATTCAAATATATTTATATATTTAATGGTATAAAACTACTAAGAACCTGCTTTTTATTAAACCAACAGATTCCAACCTTATCATTAGTCAACTATTTATATTGATTCTACTTAATTCAATACACCAATTGATTAGTATACAGATAACATCACGCTACTACGTTCATATGGAAATGAATGAAATAGCAATTTAATTATCGAGTTAAATTCCTCATTTTCTGTGTCTCTATGATCGACTTCAATTTTCAGATATTTGAAGCCAGTAGTGTGAGATCTAAACGTTAATGAGAAAACTTTTGCTTAATATTTTCAATTGTAGTGTTGTCATAACCGTTCGCCCACGTGCCAAGCACGGACGTTCTACGAATGATAATATTTTTCTACGTTTATTTAAATTTTGAAGTAGAGTTTACATAATATTGCTGTACATTTAATTTTAAGAACTAATTTTGCATAGTTGGGTTGGAAAAGGTTTTTTATGTATGGAGTATGAATAAAAATTGAATTGCAAAATAACTTAGAACATTTTAAAGTTGGTACTTATTACAAGCTGATTATTCACCTTCATTCATACATGAACCTAATTGCATGTTGCACATGAAAACTTTAGGCTTTCAAACAGCTTTAAAGCACCCACAAAGGCACTACATTCAACAGGTTTTTAAAAGCACCAAGCACTTTTTTTAAAATTACATCAAGTATTTGATTGAACTTACGGTTTTTTATGAACCACCTCCCCAACGACACTATGAAATGAATTAAAATGTTAGTAAATGAAAAAATGTTTAAAAATGAGAGTACGTAAAAGCAAATTATTATTTTTAATGGCATTCAAGATATACATATTATACAGGGTGTCCCGGAATATGTGGGCATGCTCTCGGATTTGTACAGGGAACGGTAAAAAAAGCAACACGTTTCTTGTTGTTTTTTCAAAACAATAGAAAAATTATCAAACTGAGAATCTTTTTAAATAACTTTTAGAATACTTCATGCAATTTCAATCGCACATTTCAACTGAAAATGTAACCAACAGGTTTTCCACTTAAAATGCAAATTTTAATAAATTTTTAGTTTCAATAAATAAAAAATTATACTCACTGTACTACTTGGGGTTCGTCTGGTACAGCAGCTTTATCAGGCAAGGATACTGCCCTGTATTGCAATGCATTGTACGTTTTCCAAAACAAGTACTCCCTAAATAGAAAACGTAATAATTAAACTATCACTCACGGATAGATATTTTTTATTATTATACTATTATTCTCTAAAGAATAGATTCATACCTGTAATATTTCAACCCTTCATACAGAGCTGCCATGATAAAAATACCAATCATAGATCCAATCAATCCGCCTACCGTAGTAAAACTCCATTGCTCAAAGAGAACAGTGGCACTTGATGAAAATTGAAACTGAAAAGACAAAAAACGTAGAAATAACTAAAGTCTCAGTTCTTATTTGTCGGCACACAAAAATAATGAAACTGTTGCGTAATTTAAAATATCTTATTTAAGCACGTACCCACATATTCATGTCCATACTGTGGCCTCCAGTATGAGCCATACCATGTCCAGTGTGACCACTTCGCCCCAGATCATTATGCATGCTATGATCTGTTGGCATTTGATGAGTCTGGTGATCCATCATATCATGTCCTTCAGGCATATGATGATGAGCCATTGTGTTCCTGCGAACAATGAAAATTAAACATTCGTTTATCAGGAAGCCTTAGTTTTACTAGTTCGTATTAGCGGCATCCAAAAAAATCGTAAAGGTCCTATTAACAAGTTTAGAGTCGTTATTGGTGCTATACCTACACATTTTACTGATATTAAATGTTCGGTTGAGACATTAAGTTGTTTGTCAGGACAGCCAGATAATGAAAAAACCGCAACTATCCGATATATTCACCTACTAATCAACAGACCTAGAAAATTATCTGATATTCGTATTTAAAATTTACCTAGAAAATAAATTTCCAGTTTTTTGCTGATGTTCAGAAAATATCTACCAGACGTTGAATTAATGAATGTATGAGGCAACGCCAATGCACTGGTCGAATTCTTGATCAATCTTATCACTTAAATGGTTCACGCGAAGTTATCGAAAGTTGGTCCCAACAATGACTGAAATTTTGCAAGTGGACAATGGGTAACTAAACTGAATAGCCAATTAATTTGATAAATTGACTAGTAATGAGGTTGATAACTAACACATCGAATACAATCACTTCTGCTTTAGGCAATATATTTAATAGAACGATCAGAATTAATACAAGGTTTTAATTTTACCCCGACAAACTTATAAGCAGCATTTTGTTTATAGTAATATCTTTTGCCTCTACTACTGAACAATACTTGCTCATGAGATTTGAAGTTAATAGAATCTCATATTCGTTAAATAACCAGCCGACTGTACACTACTACTAGTAGTATAAAATTGGAAACCCTTAAATTACCCCAAAACACTGAGTGTGTAAAAAATATTTTGTGTTTTTTTTGTATTCAAAGTTACTTGTTTCTGCAAACAATTACTTACACGAGCAATAATTTGAACGTCAGTAGACAGTCTTTGGAATGAGGCGTTTTCATTCGTAAAACATTTGTTCAAAGTGAAATATAAAATCGATACTGTAAAACCATGTTTGCTGAAATAATTGATGTACATAGTGAAACCTGCAACTATTTTGGAAACTCTTTTAATCGGCGAGTACTGTATTTAAACATTTGTTTAAAAACTATCTGAGTGAATAACAAACTGATGTTTGAATTTGTTGGTCTTATTGTGCAATAAGACGCTTTTAATACCAGAAATTCAACTAAAAAGTGGAGTTGAGATAGATAGTTTCAGAAAAGAAAATGAATACAACAATATATACAAAATGTATATTTAAACATATGGAAACTGTGAAAGTTAACAAGCAGAAAGATACATATTCGCTGGGAATTCCAATTAAATAGATAATGGGCAATGTCGTATTATAAATATACTTAGCAAATACCATCAATGAAGTAACTCAACAAGAGTTTGTTAAAATTACATAACAATATGGAGATTAGTGAAATGCAAGGTTTGAAGCAGGATTATATGTTGGATATAAGCAAGAATCATTAATGCCAGTGGCACAAACAGCAGTTAATAATGTATGCAAATTGAATTTACAGGGAATGAATTATATCCATCTAAATGTAATTACTGCTGCTGCTTACCTGGTTTATATTATAGATTCGGTTCCGTATTAGTTCACAGAGCACCAGCAATTGGGTTGCGAGTGTAACAAGAATGTTAAGTTTGCTTAAAGTTCACCTTTCACTTTTAATTACAAAAAAGTACTTCCTATATTGGCAATGGGGGGCCTTCAATTAAACTGAATTACTTCATAGCACAGTACGGAAACAATAAATATTCTCATTTCAAAATGTTAGTATAAGATGGAAATCGCTAATTATCAAAGGCAAAACCGCACATGCTACCAGTCCGAAGGCAAATAATTGTTTAAATAAAATGTTCACAGCCGAGTCTGTCATAACATTGGAGTGACAGAGAAGTGAA